ACACGTGTTCCAGTACCAGCTCTTATTCTGCATCCCTCTATGGGACGAGCAGTCCTTCCAGTGTCTGCAGCCTGTGGTCAGTAGTAGACAGGCATTTTTCTTTTAATAGTGCTCAGCTGTCTGCTTACTACAGTTGCTCTAATTTTCACATGTAACAATATTGGAAATACTTCCACATTCTGCTAATTTGGTGCCACGGATTTTACAAGCTAATGTTCCTCAAATAACGTCATGTGAATTTCAGTAGAGAATGCTCACATTCCAGGTATGTGCTTTGCAGCGCCTGGACCCCCATTTTCCTTCTATGTTTGAACATCACAAATAGTTTCGAGGCATGGCATTCAGATCAGTCTGAGCATTTTAAGCTCTCAAAAACGCCTTGCAAGCAAGAAGAGCTCAAGGAGCCAGCTCTTTGCTTGGCCACATCTTTCTGAATATTGAATGCAGTTATGAAGCGCATACATAAATACCTCTTTCCTTAGTGAGAGGTGAGTTGAAGCCACTGACCCCCTTCTCCCCCAGGCTTTGTCTAATGCAATTGCTGACCAGGCTGTTAGCAAGCAACTGATGGTGCTATGGCAACAAAACTCTGCTCTGTCACTTCAGGCTGTGTCAGTTGGGAGGTTATTGTGCTCATGCCAGCAGAACAAGTGTCTTTGTTGGTATGCAGTGTGTGTCCCTATGGATGCCACATCACTGTGCCAGTATGATCACGACAGCTGAGATGCAAGGTTGGAAGGTATTTGTCTACTTATGGATGCTCTAGAGGAGAGCAGTCGGTAATTTCTCACCTGATAGAGTTAAATATTGAGCTGCTAGACTCTGAAAAACCTGACTCTGTGTGCTTTTGGCTCATTTCTCAGTTCTTTTCGCCGAGTTTTATGTCTGGGAGCCAAAGCCCTGTGCTCCTCTCCAGCAAACTTGCATTGTTCCTTCCAGCAGAGCGGGTCTCAGTGAGCTGGGGCTGCAGAGAGTGAGGCTGTGCATTTAAGAGAGGGTGACAAAAAATAGGAATCTGTGGGCTTCGCTGCACCAGCACGTTCTGCAAATACTGGAAATCTGTGGTTTGATTCCTGGTAGCACCAACACACAGTCAGGGATCCATGTTGTAAGTGTGAGTCCCACAGAGTTGGTGTTGCGAGGGCATTTTACCTGCAGAACCGTTACGGTCAGCGCTGGCAAAAGAGCTGAAACCTGTTCTTTCATCCAGGAGTCTGAAAGACAACAAACCCTTTGCAGTGCGTGTGGTTTGTCAGGCTGCAAACACTTCTGGAAATGCCAGGATTCACCTTTTAGTGGCCTATCTTCCAGGACCAAGTACTGTGATGGATGATCTGTCACTCCCACTTGCTGGATTAGGTTAGAGAGTTGCAGATGTTGTGATCCCCAGGGGTCTGAGCATACCCCATGTGTTGTCCACTTGCTTCTAATAGCACAAAAATTGGGGAATTTCCGCTCTGAAGTTAACCTCTCCCCAGCCACTGGCAGGCAGGATTCTGACCCCACCATCAGGAAAGGTTTGGTGTATGCATTGCAGACAGCAGGAATCTTCCCCTGAAGCTGCTCCCTTTATTTGTGGGGGTTGCATGGTGTTCTGCAAGCCAGCAAAGATCTGGTAGATCACAAAGTCACAGTTAGTCCTCTCGGACTGTGACTCTTTCTAAAGACAACCAAACCAAGAACTGGAAACATGCTGGGAAAAAAGTGGACTAAAGGAAACTTCTTTCCATTTGTGCTTTGGAACAAGTGCTCTGGTGTTTGCTGTGTACGTGTCTGTCCCGAAATGAGAGCTTGCATCCGAGCTGTTATGGAAAAGGTTATTACTTGAGGAGTGTAATCCCAATTCATATTTGGCCATCGCAGCCAGAAGTTGAATTGGGGATGGAAGAGAAGGATGGATGGGTGGGGGGAATAAATCCACAGCTTGAGAGGGATGGGGAAAAAACTAGCCAAGGAGAACTCTTTTTTTAGCCAAAATCCTGGGACTGAGGAAACAGGCCAGGAGGGACGTGGTGTTTGGCCTCGGATCACGCACGTGCTGTGAGCTGAAGAGGAACCTGAATAAGTGAGTCCTAGTGTGTTAATCATTAACTAGTTTTCCCCATCTAGTAATAGCAGTAAGCAACTTGGAAGTGCCAATAAACTAGTAAACCAATTGAAACTAAATTATTTTCTGAGGTCTGTTTAGGAAAACCAGCTAGCATTACTAGTTTCTTTGTACCAAATTTGGATTAGCAGAACTTTTTAGGAAGGCTTTGACAGCGACATCAAGTGTGCAGCTGCTGATCCTCCCATGCAGGACAACAAGTGTCAGCTTCAGTGGCTTTAAGGAGAACTGGCAGCCTGGACTGGTGGTTGGCAGCCCTGCACACAGCAGGGGGGTTGAAATGATGATCACTGTGGTCCTTTGCAGCCCAGGCCATTCTGATTCTGTGACTGGACTGGAACATGTGGAGCAGAGAGGTGGTATGTTCCCAGGGTCGGTGTATGGAGGCTTAAAGCTCTAGGTGATTTCTGGGGGGTAAAAAGTACGTAGAGCTCCAGAACAAGAGAAAGAATAATAATGGCTAATAGGGGTGTTTTTGCTGTTGGGTTGTGTAATCAAAGCCAGCAGCTGCAGCAGTAACTGGTGAAAACCCACAATTGCTCAGCTGGGTGTCTGTCTGCAATATTCAGAGGCCTGGCTTTGTGTTCAATACCAATCAGGGTTGTATGGCTTAGGTCTTCAGGCTCAAGAAACTAAGGGGCTTTTGGGCGCTGAGGAGCACACTGAGGGCTTGTTTGTGCTCGGTTGATCCCAGCAAGGTTTATTGCTGTCTTAGTGCTCAGTGCTGCGGTGAGGACCGGTCCCAAGCAGGACTAATGGCCCCTGCATGCCATTAAGCAGCTGTCAGGAGCAGGCTGCTGATGGATGATGCTGCCTCCTGTTACCAGCGCACGCATCGCCGGCTCTCCACTGAATCGCTCAGGAAGAGCTCATGCTTGCTCAAGAAATAGGCATTCTACAGTTGGCAGGGTTTCCATCTAGAAACTTTTCTTCCTGGTTTGCTCTAAAAATGCAACAAATCTTTGTCAAGTACGTCTGTTTTTTCAGCATCCTGGTTGTGCTGCAGAGATCCAAGATGCAAAAGCAAATAGAAAATGAATAATGCAGAGCTGTTCCTTATTATCAGGAATTTGTTCCAGCGGGATGCGTGCTGTTCTGAGCACTGAGGGCTTTGTGCTCCACACTTCACCACGAGTGCTAAGAGAAGCTGTCCTGGTTGCTGTGTCAACACAGAATGGATAGAAGGGCTTAGTGGGCTGACAGCCTTCCAGAAGACTATCTTTACTGTCAAACTGGTTGCTCAAAATTGGGAACGATTTGTGGGAGCGCATCATCTCCTGGGTTTTTTCTTTCCAAACAAAATAGCAGTTTCCTTTTCCAGCTCTGCCATTTTCAGAGTTGTTGCACACTCACACACCTACACACACAGCGGGTGCTCTTGGAGTGATGCTGTGTGAAGCCCCAGGTGTTGAATTTGGCATCTGGCTTGGGGTGAATGCTTAGAGAATTTTGGTTCCTGAGACGTTTTGGAGAAGTTTTTATTAATGGTAATGGGAAATCCACCTCCACCTGCATGTGTTGGTGCAACGTTTGTGAAAAGAAAGGATTTTGGTGGGCGAGGTGTGTATGTGTGTCTGAAATTAGTGCTGTGGAGCACTTTCTACTTAAAGAAAACTGCAAAAGCTCACTCTTTTGAAGTTCAGGTAAGTAATAGTAGAAAGTCGAGTCTCGCTCCAGAGCATCATTATATGACATATGATATTGGAAACCGTTGGTTGTGGTGATGTATCTTGTATTTCTTTAACAAAAATTTCATCATGGGTTGTCCCAAAGGTCTCTAGTTCTTTGAAATAATACAGGAAGGGTTCATGCTAATGTATTGGATAGCTAGAAGAGCATTCTTATTTTTTAAAGGCTTGCACTCAGCAGTAAAAGCAGAAAGAACAGTAAATCCGAATTGGGTTGGCCTATGTGTGTATCACTGGTGCAGCTGAGGAGATCTGTCTTAATTTTTTTTTCTCCAACTCTCAAAGTGTTTTACAATAGAAAAGTAAAATCACAGCCTGGAATGGTGCTGCTTCTTCCAGCATCTGGAGTAACACTTCCAATATCGCTCTTCTGAGAGTGAGTCACAAGTTGTTACGTAAAAGCATATGATAAAGATTAGGATTTTTATGAGCAGAACAGCTCTACTTTCTTCCAGATGCACTAAAATAATTTCTCCAGAAGACTTTTCTAGATAATGCAGTTGCAGATGCACCTCAGAGGCCCTTTCCAGAAGAGCGAGGATTGCAGCTGTCTGGTGGAAAACAAACGGCTTGCTTTGGGTACAGCAGGATGAATGTGGGGACAGATCCCCATTCCTACTCTGCTGACACCTACTCTGGTGATGTGTGCCCCTGGGGACTGCCAGCACTTACAGCACGACCATAGATGCTGTTGGGCACAGAAGTGGGAGGTCCAGCGAGGAATGGGGAGTTTTACTGCTTTTTCTGTGTAATTAAATGAGTGTGTTGCACTACTGTTTTATTTTAATAGCTTTACGTGTGCTTAAACTGTGTGTGTTTCTTGAAGGCTCAGTCTGCAGCATAGCTAACTTACTGCTAGGAGAAAGCAGGCAAAATTAGCATTGTTTTTTTTTTACTGCACATTAATAAAATGTGGGTGCATTTGATGATTCGTTCCCAAAGTGCTACCACTGCTGTCCATGAAGCAGTTTTCAAGATTGCTATGCCTGAAGTTGTCAAATGCCACATGGTTCTACGTAACACAAGTCATACAGATGTCCCTGTCTTCTTTTCTTCTGCGTCAGAAACATTTGTTGGCACCGTGGTGGAAGAGCTGCTTGGTTTGATAAATGATGCATCAGTTTCTTTGGAACCCTTTGGCCTTTTGATTTCCTTTTGCTTACAGTCAGTATCGTTGTAACCTCTAATTGTGCTTTTTCTTGTAGGAGGAATACAGAGCAGAAGGGATTAGCTGGCACAACATCGACTACATTGACAACTCTGGCTGCATAAACCTCATCAGCAAGAAGCCAACCGGCCTGCTCCATCTGCTGGATGAGGAGAGCAAGTAAGTGAGAGCCGTGAGGGGTGCTGAGCCTGCCCTCTGAGCTGGGGCTGCGAGCAGGAAAAGATAAGTGCTTTGCCTCTGTAAGTAAGTGGGGAACATCTGGAAGCGCTATTTCAGTTGATGGTGTTTGATCTGTACTTAGGAAGCGTTCGTCCCCAAGTCTTAGCTCTTCCTGTAATTTTTCTGAGTGATTTTTCCTAGAAAGATGCTCATAGCTCTCTAGGCTGAACTGGTTTTGTTTCCAAGGTGGTAATGAAAGCACTTGGAGAATCAGCAAGCTAAGCAAAAAGCCCTGACCAAACAATACCTATGGTTCTATTTCAGTAATTTCCTCTGTTAGAGGGAAGGGCAGTAGTTCCATTTGCTTTGCTTCTGTCTGTGTCTCGGGCTAATAACATGAAGATGCTTGAAATTAAACAGGCAGTGCAGTTGCTGTTATCCAGCCATAAGGTGGCTTAGTCAATTTAGTCCTAAAATTAATCCCAGGAGAACCAGGGACACTTGCACACAAGGGCTGCCTTCTGTCGGGTTTAATGGCCTCAGATGCAGCTGAGATTTGCATGCTCAGGTATTTGCTGTGAGATGTCCCCCCATGCTGTGGGTTTCCTTGAGGTTTGAGGGTGAAGAACTGGCTTGTTGCTACCAACAGACAGGGCTAATGTACTCTGACTTCTTTCCTTCCTCTTTCCTAGGCCAGAATCAGTTGGGGAACTGCTGTAATTTAAGTTAAGTAGGTAAGCTAGCTCAGGATTTCCTAGGTGCACAAATACTGCCATAGATGTAAGACTGAGTGTTCAAAGCCTCAAAACCAGTCCCAAAAACTCTAGAGTTTCACATAAATGCCCCTATTTTGAATGATTGACACACACTGGGCATACAGTGCAGTGTCCTTAATGAATATATGCCTTCTATAACTGATTTCAGATCACTATTGAATCAGCAAAGAGTTCGTCAGACAGCACGTGTATCTTGTTTTTGTTTGTTGACAGCATACAAAAGTGCACTTGGTGTATGCAGTCATTGAAGTGGAAGCTCAGAATACTTCTATTTTTCTGTTTTTGGTCAAGCAGGAGGTGAAGTTTTTATACTCCATTTCCATTCTTTCCAACCAGTTTTCCTCAAGCCACCAACCAGACCCTGCTGGACAAGTTCAAGCGTCAACACGAAGGGAACTCCTACATTGAATTTCCAGCAGTGATGGAGCCAGCTTTCATCATCAAACACTACGCAGGCAAAGTCAAGTATGGAGTGAAGGTCTGTCACCCAGCTGCTCCCCAGCAGTTGCTTTCAGTTAAAGCATCTTGTTAGGCTTTGCAGAGATGTTTTGAAGAGGGCTTGGCTGGAGAAAAGAAGCGAGCTTGGAGAGGGAAGTGCTTGGTGAAAAGCTCGGCTACAGCATGCGAGGAGAAGGTGGCGGTGGCGATGATCTTCCTGTTCTCTGCCCTGTTGCTACCCTTGGTATTTGGGGAAGAATTGAAGACGTGCACTGAGGCTCCTGCTGCACTTTAATTTGATATTTCTGGGGTTGGTTCATTGAGAAATCCTACTGTCTTTTATTGATCCATCATTGGAGTGTACAGGCTACATGAGCACAGGTCTCAGCATTTCATTGGTGCAGGTCCTCTGAAATCCCATGTGAGAGATTTCTACATTTACCCCACTTGCACACGTAAGTTATTAGCAGAAGGATTTTTGTGAAGATGAGCTTATGCAAGAGACTATACTGGTGCTTACAGGTCTGCAGATCTGTAATGCAATGATTACACATGAGAAACTTAAATGCCTTCTCTTTCATGCTTCAGAAAGCTGTGCATTTGTTTTCTGGAGGTAAAGAGGTGTCTAATACGAGAGGAGAAATAAGGTAGAAGCATGCCTTGAGTTGCTCTGCAGCGCATCTCGCAGAGATTCCTTATTTTGCTCCTTTCTCCCCAGGATTTCCGTGAGAAGAACACAGACCACATGCGCCCAGACATCGTGGCTCTCCTGAGAAGCAGCAAAAATGCCTTCATCTGTGGGATGATCGGCATCGACCCGGTGGCAGTGTTCCGCTGGGCCGTGCTGCGGGCGTTTTTCAGGGCAATGGTTGCTTTTAGGGAGGCTGGAAAACGATACGTTGAGAAGAAAACTGGTAAGTGGGCCGGTTTCCTAACTCTGCTTTTTGCTTTTCACAGGCAGCATGAGTTTGTTTTGTTACTATGGTATTTTAAATAGCCAGCCTGGTTCTTCAGGAGCTAATGGTCTGTTAAAAAGCTGAGTAACAGAAATGTATAGATAGCTGATATCCCAAAGTTATGCTGGTGGGTATGTTTGCAGTAGGATGTTAATGCTGTAAGACCTTCATTTTACCCTTGCTTCACTTCTTCCTGCGTGCCTGCGTAGGAAGTCCTGAATGATTCAAACAGAAATACAAAGATCAGGCAGTAAATTCTTTTTAGCTAGGGTTTCTTTAGCAGTTAGGGTTACATCTGCAAAAAAATGGGGATTAATTCCTCCTTAGAGTTTTTCAAGCTGTTCACCCTTCAAGCTGAAAGAGAGCGTGCCCCTGGTCTAGCAAAATTCATTGCTTCACAGTCATGCAGAACCACTGAGCTGTCCTCATGCGGAACACAGGGGCATTAAATTAAATGAGAGTAATGGTGCATCATCATGCTGTGGCAGGCAATACTTGGCTGTGCTTTTAGAACGTTTCTCTGCATTAAAACAATTATGGGAAGACGGGTACAAACTATTACTATTAATTTCCGGGCACAAGAGGGCTTGAAATTCATGATGAAATCAGAGCATCAGCAGGGAAAACGTCAGCTGAGTTAAATTAAGCACGGAGCTGCCCCATTTGTTTTCAGTTGGAAACGTGGTGAGGTGTGCATCAGGGGAGCCAGGGGACAAGGCACATCGATAGGGAAGCCATGCAAGCAGAAAGAATAATTGTCTTGTTGGGGGAGAATAATACCAGCCTTTGGTCAGATCCCAGGAAATGCAGGAGACAAAACCAGCTTTCAGCTGTTGAGGCCCTGAGCTGCTCCACAGGGGCTGAGAGAAAGGGCATCGCTGAGGAACCTGTGTCTGCCTGGCACATCAAGGCAGCACTCAGACCTCGGTGCTTTGCAGTGCCAAGTGGAGGACGGGGGGATGTTCCACGTGTGCAGCCTCCCTGCATGAAGGAGCTTTCCTGAAACTTGACTCTGGCACTGGGAGAAACATCACTCCAAATACCTGACCTTGGAAAATCTCAATTTGCGTTTTCCTAGCGTTGCCTCTTCACCTTTCATAAATCCCACAAAGCTGAGCTACAGCAAGCTGTTCAAGGGAAGGACAAAGAAGTTAAGGCTCTGAAAGTAAGAGCTCCTGCCCTGCTGGTTTCAAGCCCTGCTTTGCTTCCTCTGCCTCTTGGGAGCAGTCGTGACTGCTGTGCTCATCTCTGCCTTCCCAGCCTTCAGTTTGTGCTGTGCCTTGCTTATATCTATGCATAGACATAAAACAGTCAGGAGGTTTTCAGGCAGTTTTGGAAGACTCAGTTCTTGTACCACTTTCTGTGGCAAAGCCAACCAGTATTCAGCATAGGCTGAGACAGACTTTTCTGGCACTCAGTATACAATACAATACAATATTGTATTATATATACAGTGCCCACTTTTTTCTTCAAAACTTCTTTTTTTTTTTTTTTTTTCCTAGGGAAAGAGAAAAAAACAAAAACCAGGAACCCTCAAAATACAGGATAGCTAAAGATTGTCCTAAACCTCCCAACATTCCCCAGTGAGTTCATATGCTCCATTTCTGCCTACCTGCATTTTCATAGTGTTACTGAATAATTACTGAACTGGGAGAGTCTTGACAATTGACCATTATGAAGGCAGAACTAAGGGAGCAGTTTACCTAAAGTTAATTCCTGTAATGAGGTAAACCTTTTCTGCTGGAAAGCATTCCTGGCTTCCCCTCCAAGTGAGAGCTGTGCAGTGATATTGCACAGAACCCAGCAGAAGACACTGTGCAAAGTCCCATGTCTTGCAAAATATCCCAAAGCAAAGGGTTATGGAGGAGATGCAGCAAAGCAGGAAGCTCAGATGGTCTCGAGAACATCCAATATTGACCCTCCTACTGCCCAAAATAAAAGCCACAGCTTTGCACAATGCATCTATGGCAGAAGGCATTTGTGAATTATTGAAGAGCCACTTGGCACTAAAATCACCTGGTAATTGTTCTGGAAAGCGCAGACAACTGAAGGCAGCATATGTTTTAGGTTTATTTTGCTTTTTTACCAAACTTTGCTGGCTTTAATTAGCATCATTTGAATGCCTCAGTGCATGTGGATGAGGAGCTTTTGATGACATTACAGTGGGTTAGCAGAGAATAACCTCACACAAAGCAGAGCCATGTGCATTCACATGCCTGCTGCACGTGTCATAATTTAACGTGATTTTTAAGAAGGCGTGCTGCCCAGCTCTCTGTTGCTGCTGCTGCACCCTGGCAGTGGCTGTAACCAGTGAGCAGTGACACGTCTGAGGCATGATGCTTTTTTCAAGCCTCTTTTTATTCTTTTGTCTTCACCCCAAATTGATCTGAACTGCTTCTACCTGGCTGCAGGCCTGGCTGAGTCCAGCTTGCAACGTCCAGCGGGAATTTCATGAGAAAACCTGCAGCCTGTGCATATAAGCAGCTTTGCAAAACGTGCTCTGCTTTCTTTGTCTGCCAGCCTTGCAGTTGTCTCTTCTGTGCCAGCAGTGCCATGCAGTGCTGTGAGCTCCACGCTCTGCTTTAGAAGTGCTGCAGTGGTGTCACCCTTTCCTCCTGCAGTGTTTTGGGGGTCTTCCTTTTTCTCCTGGTGTTCTCATAGCACAGCTTTTAGCGACTGTTGTTCCCTTTAACTTGGAGGCCCACAGCAGCAAAGCAGCACAGCTGCAAACTTGTGCCCAAGAGATGCTCCCATGGTGCTGCTCACCCTCCTCAAATGGGGCACTAATTAGCTGAAGGGTGGACTCTTTCAGTAATTTGGTTTAATTGTTGCTATTATTGAATGTATCAGGGAGAATTAAGATAGTTTGGAAGAACTACACGTTAGAACTAGATTTGGTTTTAACGAACTTTGAGGAAAGGAACATAATCAAGCTTTTTAAGAAAAAAAATTGTCTGATTGACACTTTTTGCAGTCTGCTGTATCAGTGGTGTGAATGCATTATGCAAGAAAACCAGAGTATTTTGCTAGGGAAGACTTAGAAGGGTTGGTGCTGGTCTTACAAATCAGGCTGTTGGGACTCTGAGCTTTCCCATCTGCTTTTTGCTGGATGTGAAGCAAAGTCCTTGCTCTGAGATAGGCTTGGTGTGGCTCTGTGTTCCCATTCAGCCAGCAAGGGCTGCTCCCAGATTAAATGGGACGTACCCCTATTTCACAAACATGGGCAGAGCTGAACCCTGCTGGGTTCTGCTGAGTTCTTCCCAAAGCCAGGCACCAAGTTAAATTAATAAAAACTGCAAAGAAATAATTATTGGCCAAATAAGAGTAGCTGCCAGCAATGATCCCGGAGGTGCCACTGAGCAGCGTGAAGTGGTGCTGATGGGGAGTGATGACCCTTGACAGCGTTCCTCTATAAAGTTCAGTCCCTTCTGACGATGTGACGTGTTGGTACAAATGCTTCTGTATGTGCTGACACAAGGTAACCCCTCAGTGACCCCACCACACAGGAGTGTGACATCTCAGGCTTCCCATTTCCTCGATCCGTTCAGCCACAGAGGGGTGCTGCCTGCTTGCCGAGTGCCACCTGTGTCACCTCTCCTCCTCCCCGTGGTTGGAGCTGGACCACGACGTCCTCCCAGGGATGGCTTCTTCCACCTCGACCCATTCCCAGTTCTGATCCTTGCTTACGAACGATCCCATCCCAGTCCAATCTCAGTCCTCTGTCCTTGAGGAAGACTAAATCCTTGTCGATACGAGTGACTTCTGCTTCTGTTACGTGGTCGCTGCCTGAGCAAGGCGCAGCACTGGGATGAGCTGGGAGTTTGAGGTGGCCATGCCTCCAAGGTGCCTCTCCAGGAAACTGCAGCCTACAGCTGGCAGAGGCACAGAAGGAGTTTTGAATGAATGATAACACAAGATTTGTGTAGTCATTTACTGTATGTCCAAATAATCTTGGGGCAATTATGGCATTTCTGTGCCCTGGCCAATATGGCAGTGCAGCTGGGATACCAGCCAGCCCCCCCATCCCGCTGCCGTGTCCACTGCCTGCTTGTGGGGTGGCTGAGGTCCCGCTGTGTCCCTGCTGCTTATGGGCAGAACTGCTACGATGTAGGCAAGCTCTGAGCTGAGCAGCAGAGCTCTGACATCCTTCAGGCAGCTGGCAGCCTTGTTCTTCACTCTTTCCTGGTTTCTGCTTATGTAATCTTTCTCTTCTCTCCATTTTTTTTGTTTTGTTTTTATTTTACTTCCCAAGGGCATGATGATGCAGTGCCATGTGCGGTTTTGAAAAGTGTGGATAGTTTTAGCTTTCTCCATCACCCAGTTCACCAGAGGAGCTTAGAGATCCTGCAGAGATGCAAGGAGGAGAAGTACAGTAAGGCTCCAATCCCGCCCTTCTCTCTGATGCCGCACTCACACAGGGGAAATGGAGATCAGGTGCATTCGGCGTAGGAAGGGTGGAATCACCCAGCAGCCCTCCAGGCCGTCCTGCTGGCTGCCAAAAGGTGTTTGGATCCCATCTGAAATCAATAGGAGAGCGAAAACAAAGGCAGATCCGCGTCTCTTGAGACTTTGGGTGGTTCTGCTGAGTCTTCCCCTAAGACTTGCATGGTCTCCATGGGCTGTACTCACAAAGCATTTGGCAATATTTTAACAGAGCAAGCAGGCAAAGATGCACTTGGTCTCCGTTTCTTCCCCCTCACTCCTTTGTCACGTGATAAACTAGTTCTGCATGACAACACGGATATCCTGCCCGTGCTACTAATTCCCAGGGCTGTGCTGTGTGGTGGGAGGAGAAGGGAGGCTGCAGGGAGCGTGCCTTCCTGCTGCAAGGCTGCCAGCAGTGCTGTATGCAGCGTCACCCAAGGGGTCACTGCCAGCTGCACGCCCTGCAGCGGTCGGTCACAGCCTTAGGAATGGCCTCACTGCTTTCAGGGAGTGATGCAAAGCCTGCAGGTGAACCTTCAGAAGGGTCTGCATACGCATATACATTTCATGCTCGCAGCTTGAGATGTGTCATTCCACGCCATTGTTCTCCTCCTTCATTTTGCATAACAAAGCTTACAGAAATAGAGCATGACTATGCAGCCAAGGGCACATTTGCTGCCCCAGCTGCTAACGTTGCCCTCATGCAACTTAGGCAGAAGTGCAAAATGCTGGGATTTGTTTCTGCAGAAATGGGCATGGTAAGTACAGCACTTGGATGGTAACTCCACAAATACGCATTTCCTGCTACGAACCTCAGATCAGATTTCTCTGCTTCCTGCAGGGTAGCACTGGGGGAGCAGAGGAAGTGCTTTAATTCTTATTTTAGACTTCTGTCTACCTACATTATTTTTGCTGCAGCTTCCCACTGTTACTTTTATTACTGCAAGGAAACACAATGCATTGACACGAACACAGAAGTAGATCTTCTGAAGTGTTAAGTGACCTTAGTGAAGACAGTTCAGGTTGCAGGTAAAGATGTGTAGATTAACTCAGCAATGTGGGAAGTTTGGGGGGTTTTAATTTGCAGTTTGCTTAGGAATGAGGACAGAATTCGTAGAGCTGCTTTGAAACACAGCCTTAATTTAGTGTCAGGCAGGGAGGTTCCATGTATAAGGCTGCTGAGCTCAATGCTTTGAAGCCTGGCTTATTATGGCCTGATCTCTTCCCATGGGGCATGCTTCCATAAGCTGTTCTCCAGGTTTCATGAGACAGCTTCAGCTAGGATTGAAGCACATACAACATTTTGATGTTGAATTGAGCACATCTGTAGGCAGGTGATCGGCCTGGGGTTGGTGTTGCTCTGTGGTGTTCCAAAGTGTGGAGGTGAACATCTCAGCTCAACCCCACGTCTGTGCTGGCTGATGTTCATGGGCAAAGTGGGCACTGTCTGAAGTTCTTTGCTGTGAAAACATGTGGTAAGCATAATCATTCTTTGTGAAACCACAGCTGAAGAAGAGGAAATAGATTTGGGAGATGGGAATAAAATCATTTCCGAAACACAAAATTCATCAGCCTGCAGCTGAGCTGGGTGCAGGGAACAAGTGGCTGCTTCTTGCACCGCTGTGTTTTGGCATGCAGTGTATGAGTGCATGCAGTTTCTTAATCCATGTTTCTTATACAAAATTCTCTAGGCTGTACACAAAGTAGTTAAATCTGGAACTTTTTACCATTTGTTCATAAAAAGCCCTCTCTGTTCCTTAGAAAAGGGGCTACGTAACTATGGCACCTTTTATTTGGCTTTGGCGTGTATGAATGTCTCCTTTTAAGAGCCAAGTGATGGCACGATGCAGTCTTCTTGGTATTCCTGAAGCAGTCCTCCTGAACTCAGCTTCTGTCCTTGTGCACTGTAACTTATCTTCATCAAAAAGTCACTCGGGATGTGAAAGTGGCAGAGTTGCAGTGCAGTTGTAATGCAGCTGTTATTTGGGAGCCTGAAATAGACGTTTCCTTTTCCTGATCGAAGCAAGGTGAGGTTGCAGTGATTTTGAACAACCTTGTCTTCACAGTTTCACTCTGACCTGTTCCATTGGATGGGGCTTTGGGAGGCAATAACAGAAGGAAAATCTGAGCAATAGCAATGAAAGTCCATTGATAGCAATGAAAGTTCATCATTGCCTGTTTACACGGGTGGATGGTGATGGGTCAAGGGGTTTTAAACTGAGACAGAGGAGGTTTAGGTTGGATCTTAGGAGGAAGTTTTTCCCCCAGAGGGTGGTGAGGCACTGGAACAGGCTGCCCAAGGAGGCTGTGGATGCCCCATCCCTGCTGGATGTGGCTCTGGGCAGCCTGGGCTGCTGGTTGGTGACCTGCACACAGCAGGGGGTTGGAACCAGATGATCATTTGGTCCTTTGCAACCCAGGCCTTTCTATGATTCTATGACTGGAACTGGTCATTAAACACTCTAGAGTGCTGTAAGTTAGAGAAGTCTTTTGCATGTGTACTTGCAAGCATCCAAGCACAGGTAAAAAAAATAATAATAATAAACAAAAAATAAAGAAAGAGGGAAGAGAATGTTTCTCTGATGAGAAATGCAACCCCAAAAATGAGTTTGATGGCAGCAACGGAGATTTTAAAGAGAGTTTTAAACTCTAGGCGTAGCTAAGCACTAAAGTGGATTATCATTCTCTCTACTGGAACATCATCAGAAGTAGAGATTGCAAAACCTCCTGAGCAGGAATTGTTTCATCTTGAGCAAAAATGACAAACGTGCGCAGGGAATCTGCTATTGCTTCTTCCTATTCAGTTACAAGCTATCTCTTAGGCTTCTTCTTTTTCATTTTTTTTCCAGTTTTATTCTGCTACAGAAATGTCAGAGTGAGGGGGCATACAGTTCCCATGTTTAAGTCAGCACTGCGATGTTTCCTGTCTCACAGCAGACATGTCAACACATTTTAAAATTGCATGACTGTTTTCTTGTCAAATTGAGACTTGCTGGGTCTAAGTAGCTGTATTTTAGAGGCTTGAAAGCTATTTTGTTTCCTACAAAAATTGCCTTCTGTCTTCTTAAATGCTTGGTTACAAAACATTTCCACTTTGGGGAAGGTAACCGATGATACATTTGCTTCTGTAACCATGTGTGATGACTTCCTTGGCTATCTATTATTCATGGTCCTCTAGATCTGCACATCTCGAAGGATGCAGCTTCAATAACACTCCCTGTGCAGTGCACATCCACATCCCTTAGTCTGCAAGAAGGGAGGAAGCATGGAAGGCATAAGTTCCCCTGTCTCCAAGCACCTCGTTCAAACCCAGGTGTTGTGCATGCCCCATGAGGTGCAGCACATACCTTCTGGTTAGGAATATTTTGCACATGCAGGAAGCAATCCCCAGCGTCACAGCAGTTCTTCCCTTGTAGCTTTTGCTTACAAGCTGGGACACCGTGTCCCTAACACAGCGTGAGAGCGTGGGAGGGAGAGCAACACGCTGAGCAAACAGTGTTACTCACAGGGCTATGACTCGAGGGCAGAGAGGCACGACGTCGACGACGATGGGTACGTTGGCATCCTTGGCACCCTTGTTTGTATGGGCAGCATGTGCTGTGACATGTACATCCTCCTCCTCACCGTAGTCAACACTAAGCTATGGCTCTGCTAATTGCCTGCTGGTGAGAAGCCAGGTAGAAACTCCCCTCTCCATGTGCTGCTGTAGGTATTACTCGGAAAAGCCCGCGGACGCCGCTCTCGGATCTCCAGGGAGTCAATACCATCAACGAGAGGAGCCAGCGGTAAGTGTCCTGCTTCCACATTGTCATGGCAAGGAAGTGTTGGATGGGAGAGTGCTATCTGCTGCTGTTAATGACTGCGTTAATGGTTTTCCCAGTGTGCTTCTTAATTTTGTCTTCTCTTAGTTCTTTTGCTGCCGGTGATGATATCTAAATATCTTAACTTAGAGTAGGCGCAGAAAGCAGCTTCACTCAGCCCCAAGGCAGTGGTTGTAGGTGGTGCAATGTGCAAAGTGGTCAGAAGTGTGCAAAAAAAAAAAAAAGGAGAATGAATGTGCCAATATCATGGGGAAAAAAAAACAGACATTTTTCTGAGGCAAAAGTAGAGATGATGTGTTTGTGTGCAAGCAGTGTGATTGATGGCTGCGGGTGCTGCTGGCTGTTCAGGACCAGGGAAGGTCTGAAATTGCAACTGAGCAAATGTTTGCTGCTTGTCAGGGGAAAATCAGGGGACGTCTGGTGACTGGAATGTCTCTTAGAGCACAGGAGATCTTAGTTCCAAAGTAATGTTACAGCGTGTGAACTTTGAAGGAGATTCAACTCGTGGTTATAGATACAGTTCTATTTTTTATCCCTCCTTGAGGGTTGTGGGCATTCAAGCACCTAATTCAATTTTGCTGATTGAGAGTCGGTTCTGTGCTTTCTGGCACAGATCTGTGCCTCTTTGGCCAAAGTTTTTCCAGATCTGCATCAGAATTAAGCTTCTGGTGAAGCAAAGTGTCTTCATTTCAGTGGGGACTGTGGGTGCAGATACTCACCTTTTGTCCAGCTACTCTTGTACTGCCCTTCTGCAGATGCCAGAAATTCTGATTATTCAGATAGCGTCTCTAGGGAGGTATGGTGCTTCCCTGCTTCCCTCTGAGCATACATATTTGGACACAGGGAAATACATGATCAGTGTACCTTCAGCTCCCAGAGTTATTGCTTGGAGCTGCAGATATCCAGCTGCAATTTCATGGCTGCTCTGATTTCCATGAGAAGCCCAGAACAAGTCGAGGGGATGCTCACTGAACACCGTGATGCCTGCATCTCACTGTTGGGTTTTTCTTGTGTGTGATGCAAAATATTCTCCAAGAACGTTATTAAATCTCTGATTTAGTGGCCTTAAGTCAAACGTCCAAGATTGAAATTAGATTTAAAAAAAAAAAAAGGAGCAATATATAGGGAAACAAAAATCCACAGATGTCATCTGTGCCCCTTCCTTTCCGAAAGAGGCAGACAAGGTTGGTGCCTCCAGAAGTGACTCTTCCTCACTTCTCTGGTTGCGCAGGTTTCCCTAAAAGTGATGTAACATGAAACTTTGTCCCTGCGAAGATCTTGCTGGGTAGATAAGAGGTGTTGTGCAGTTTCTCCAGCTGCCATCTCTCAGCATTCCAAAGGAGGATGCTTATTGAAAGAAAGCCTTCAGATGGGGTGGTGGTGCTTGGAGAACATCAGTGAAGTGAGATGGCATTTTTCTGGTTGTATAGCTCCGACTTTGGGGCATGCCAGTAGGGCAGGTTGGGCTGCCAGTATTTTCATAGCCCAAAACATTTTAATTATCTGGAGTCGTTGATAGTACATCTTGTAAAGACAGGGAAACTCCTACTGTCTCACAGAACACAGAAGATGAATGTGTTTATTCCTTTCTGTCGAGGTTCAGCCTGTGGTCAGCTGTATTTATTTGGCTTAAAACAAGTCAGGACATCACACAAATTCCCATAAACAGCCAGCATCAAGGGTAGCGTCTGCTGTGCCCTCCTTCATCCTCAGCAGTTGTATCCTAAAAATACTCAGGACAGACCTCTATTTCTGCTGCACCTCTGCTGTAACTGGCACAAATGTGGTTTTGAGAGTGCTCTCCCTGTGTTTCTCTTGGTGCAGTGGCTCAGTAGCATCTCTAATCTTGGCATCATTGAGCAGTGCAACCTTGGGCATCACTGGGGACTGGTCCCCACATGTCCTCTGTGCCCCTGCCTTCCGAAAGCCCAAACCACAGTGTGAGCTTTAAATTCCAGAAGGCACTTTTGGAGTAGGCGTGTGATTTTTAATACCTTTCGCTGTGAATAAATTTGATCTGAAGAGTCATTAATCATGCTTTCTAAATGTAGGTTTTGCTTTTAAGTTGTGCTTGTCAAAAAAAAAAAAAAAGAAGAAGAGGGATCTGCAGAGATAAGGATAACACCTATAGGAAAGAGGTTTGCTGTAACAGCCCTGTGGTTGAATTGTCCCTCAGTTCAGAAGTGTCGAGCCAACAGATAGGCTGGTGAGTGATTTACAGAGCTAAATGAAACAGAGGAATTCTCTTTTCAAGCCATCTCATCATCATGTGGTGGCTGATAAGTCTGGGTTGTACAACTCCCAGGATAGCCCGGGGCTCTCTTCAAAAAGCAAATTTCAGGCATGACATCATGCAGGAAGGCATGGGGAGGGCCCAGCGAGCTTCTGATCTCAGAAGAAAGTGATCGTGTGGTTCCCACATGCTGGGATGGCAGCTGGAGGAAACCAGGCTTCAGCAGAGCGTCGGGAAGCCAGCACGCCTCGGAACTGCCTTCAGCAGCCACCGAGTAATGAAAGCCATGCCACTGCTAAGCAGAACCGCTTGGGCTGTCTGCTTTCATGCAGCAGAAACTGTTTTATGTTCCTTGATGTTGGCGCAGCGTGCAGGGAAGCAGGTGTTGATCAGTCTGTCTTGAAGCAGTTGGTTTTGCATGGTGAGATGATTGACTTCCAAGTACCACAACAGCTGTGTCCATCACTGTGTGCACATATCCATCCTCGAGTGTCTGTAATAAACAGAGATGGTTGGTCTTTTTAAACCTGCACGAGAATGTATAGGGTTTTCTCTTCTTTAGTTTCATTCAGAGCCCATATCACCACTTTCTTATTCAATTCTGAGTTACAGTCGGCTGAATTAGTGATGGGCTGTGGGTCCTCAGGGTGGCCGTTGAGGGTTAGTGGAAGTGGTTCAGACAGGGTTTTATTTCCCCTGCAAGCAGGAGGCTTTGGGACCTTAGCTGTGAAGGTGGCCTGCAGACATCACTGAAATTCAAGCTTCTCTGTGGCCTTCCTTGGATCAAATGGGCTGCTTAAAAAAAAAAGAGATCTGGAGGCACTCATCAAGGGTTTGCTTTGCTGTATTCATCCTTTCTTTTAATAGCAGTACACGTCAAAATACAGATTTAGTGGAACTAGGAATGAATTTTAAAAGCATTGCAGCAAGGCAGTGAGGAGACTTGAATCTTCATGCCGTTTTACTCCAAAGATTTGGCTATGAGCTTTGAACTGCCTGCATTAACAACTCTTTTTGCTTAGCATTTTCTTTCCATTGTGGCACTTGATCTTTCGCTTCTTCCAAAGCATAAACCACTGTGTTCTTTGGCATCTTCATGTCCAGAAGACTGATGCTGCCATACTGGTGCCCTCCATGAGCCAGGTCTCTTCCTACCCTTTTCCCATCTGTCTGAAATATCTCTGAGGTTTTGCAGACCCCACATCCCTCCTTAGACCAGTTCACAGTATTATTTTGTAAGACAGTTTCTGCAAGGGTGGCCGAACCATACAGAAATATTGCATGACCCCAGGCACTGGGAGGAGGCTCCTCCAGCCCTTGAGGGGATTTTGCCTTGATGTGAAGCTTCATGGAAGCTTTTCCTTCCTGTAAGGGAGGACTTTGGTTCCTCTCTTCGTCCTCCTGCAAGCCAGGGCTGCAGGGGAGCCGCATTCCTGGGTACCAGCACAGCTGTGCTCCGTGGCAGAAGGGAACAAACTGGAACAAACTGAGGAAGTGTTTCTGATCTTCCACCTTAGAAGATGGCAGTGGTTATTAAGTAAATCGTCTCAACGCTTTATTCTGTCGTAGAACCATCTTTTGTGTCTATTCCATCTGTCTTTAAATGTGTCTGACTGCCCTGTTTGGGTTTCAGGGATGCCTTTGCTGTTGGCTGGAATGGCCGGATGGGGATGCGGCACAGCAGGCTCGCCAGCCCCAGCTCCTTCCTGGACAAGGATGGGATATTTGTGAACGCAACTAACAGCAAGCTGCTGGAAAGGGCCCACGGCATCCTCATGTCAGTACAAAAGGAGGGGATTTTGGCTTCATTCCTGGCATACAATGAGCGATATGGGTAATAAGAGGAATGTAAATAGCCAAAACAAGCAAAAAAAAAGATCAGTTTCAAGTGGGCTTGGACACAATTGGGTCAAAACGACCCCGGTATGTTTTATATACCTGAGTTATTCATCCCTTATCATTCATTTGTAATGACAGACACAGTAAAGTGGTACGGGGAAGTGAGAGAAGGAATGAGTCTCCCGGTCAAACCAGTCTAAAGAGATGACAGTGATGTTATGCAGTAACATTTTTTAATGTGATATCAAAGTTTCCATTACAAATTAGATGTGGAAATGATGCGGGTGAATCACATTGCAGCCTGATGTGGAGTTTCAGAGAGCATCACCCAGGTGGTGTGAGAAAGCAGGATGGTCCCTGCGCTGCCCAAATTAGCCCTTCATTTCTGATGTAAGAATGCACTGTGATTGAGTACCTCCCTCTCAGCTGAATCCGTACAAGTCGGCAGCATGCAGAGGGAGCCTCATTTCAGGTCAGGTTGTAGGAAGGAGTTGCTAAAGGGAGTTTTGCAGGGCTTGGTTCATAACCTCCTGTGTTTTTGGACCTTACTGTCTGTGCTGTGTTGCAGTAAAGAAAAAAGAATGATGTTTCTTAATGGCAGAACTGTTCTGTTGTAGTGTAACACACAAACTATTCTGCAGTTACACAAGTGGGTTAATCTGAGCCATTTGTTGTCTCCCCAGGCGAAATAAGAACTGCAAAGCCAAACCCAGTCTCCCGAAGGTGAGAAGCAGCGTTTTGACCTTGCTGGTCCCAGGTTAAGGCTGTGGGTGCAGAGCTGAAATGCTGATGTGTGTGTAAGAAAGATGCCTGGGGTTGTTCTGGGGCTGCTGTCATCTCTGCTCTGTTTGGGGCTCGTTAGTGTCTGTAAAACCAAGGATTTCAGCCCTGGTTTGTGCTGGGGGAGGTCTGTGAGAGCACGCGCATCCTCCTTTTCAGACCTGCTTGGGCCCTTTCTTTCCTCCTTCTGGGGAGGGGAGTGTGTACGTGCTAGGGAAATATGATAACTGAATCTCTAAAAAGAGCAAGTAGTTATGCAGAATGGCTGTCACCTCATAAGCGAAGCAATTTTCGTGATGCCTGCACAGTTTGGTCTTAAAAACAATCTTAACAATTGATCATTTCTGCCATACCTACAGCACGGCTGCATTCTGTATGTGTCCTGCAGTCCCTGTATCTTCTAATGGCAATAAATTAACTCTTCATTAACAGTGGATGTGCTGTGTGTGATGAAGTGAGCTTTTCGTAGCAGTTAGAAGGAAGGAGGTTTTCAGTAGGTTTTGTGGACTGATGCCTTTTTTGGCCTTGGCAGTGCTGGCTCAACTGAAAGAAATTCTGCACTGGCTTTTACACTGTCAGTGTGCCAGTCCTCCCCGGGACTTTCCCATACCCCCCATCCTTATTCAAAGAGGAGTTTCTGTCCTTGGAGGTATTCAAGGCCAGGTTGGATGGGGCCCTGGGCAGCCTGGTTTAGCATTAAACGTGGAGGTTGGTGGCCCTGCATGTGGCAGGGGGTTGGAGATTCATGGTCCTTGAGGTCCCTTCCAACCCTGGCCATTCTGTGATTCTGAGGTCCTGCTGGCAAGCACGTGGTTTCCATCTACAGTTTCCTGTTGACAGGAATGAAGCCCCTGGACTTGCTAATTATGGCTGATGGCTTGTTTTCTATATGCATGTGATGAATTTGCAGCAGTCACAATTCAAGTTTGTTGTTAAAATGCCATGGAAATAATAGACAAATGGTCGACTTTCCAGCAATATTTATGTTTGTCTGCAACCCCACTTTAGTGTGTCAGAGAGACAAACTTCCCATGGTCAAAGAAGCCTTTGGCAAGAACTAGGAGGCCAAGCAGGTCATATGTTTCAAGCCATTCCCTGATGTTTTCCATGGAAATGAAATAGGGTGGTTACTGTAAGGAAGCTCTGCAGGGCATGTAAATGATTATAGCGTGGCAGTAAGTTCCAGTTACATTTATAGAGAATGAAATCTGTCTTCCACAGCACATGCTGGATGTGAAGTCCCTCAAGCACCTGACCAACCTGACACTTCACGACCACATTACAAAATCCCTTCTCCATCTCCACAAGAAGAAGAAACCACCCAGCATCAGCGCCCAGTTCCAGGTAACGCAGCACTCTGTTTGCCTTGGTACAGATTGGTGATAAGCCTGTACTGAATGGAAAGTAAATATGTTCCAGCTTCACCACTGTTTGTTCAGGATGTGAGCTCAGCTCAAGATGATGCTCCAAGACAGCAGAGGGGGGACATGAGGGTGAGCTGCAGGACAGAGAGACAGAGATTATCACTTGCTGCAGAAAGGGGTGGGAAGAAAGGCAGTTATGTCAGGGTAAAACCAGTGGGCAAGGCATCAGGGAGAGCCTTGTGCTGGGGGTGTTGGTGCTGGTCTTTTTTGTGCTGTGATTTTTTAAGTGCCCTCGCAGTGAGGCACCTCATCAAACATTTACGTAGCGCGCAGCTGTGTGTGTGTGCACGGCCTGCTTTCTGGCTCCTTGCTTTCAAGGCATTCACATCATCTTGTTTTCTCTGCTGAATCCAGAAAGCTAGTCAAATTCTGCTATAGGATTTTAAAGTGTTTTTTTTTTTGCTTAGGTTCAACATTTACAATTCAGTCTGTTTTCAAGTCAGGTGGAATGTGAATTTTAATAGGTGCAGAAAGGTCAAAACATTGCTGCATTATCTCAAGGCATGCAGGGGAACTCAGGAGGATCAGTACAGCATCTGTTATGATGGCAGCGCTGCGTGCCAGCCAAGCTTCCCTGGGAATAGCCACAGCTAAAGTAATGCTCAGATGTGTGCATCAGGGCTTGGGAATTGGTGCCAGTCACATGCACTGCCACGTGGTAGTATTAGGATGCAGCATTTCACTTAACAAAAATGCTTTTCTGGGGAAGTTTAACTTGGTTTTTACTTTTGATTTTTGAGATGTTGGTCATTTTTAGAGAGACTTCGTGCGTGGATGTGGCTGTGATCAAGTAATTTTATATATATACATATGTACACACACATACAGAACTCTGTATGTATAAAATGAAGAATGCATGTGTATGTATATATTTAAAGCTCAGTCTGGATTGATTGTACACTGATTAAAATAAATGTCTGCAGAGTATAATTCATAAGTAATTTATACTTCTTGAGGGGCTGAACTGAGGATGTTTTCCTGACACCCATCTGTCCTTTAGACGTAGTGTGGAGGAATGCAGAGCTGAGGTTCCTGTATAAGTCCCAGCAGCAGAGCTTGGGGTGCTGTGAAGATCCCCCCCATGCAGCAAAGCAGAGCCTTCACACTGCTCCTGTGCTTTCTGACACTGCAGCACTGACTTGGCAGCATCAGAGCAGTGCATACAGCTCATGCTCTTTTATTTAAATGAATGAAAGCATATTGCAGTGTGCTGGCTCCTGGTGCTCCTGCTTGCTCCTCTTCTAGAAGAATGCTGGACACTCCAGCCCTGATTTCATTTAGCACTCATAAGGGTGAAGTGTTTTCTCCAGGGAAAAACACTTGGTGCTGGCTGCAAGATGGCTTTTTATCAAGAGCAAGCTAATAAAATTGCAGAGCGTGGAACTGGGTCAGCGACAGGAAATACAAATGTTTCCCATCACGGGGTTTGTGCATTGCTGTGTTTTTCAGATGAATGCTGCCTTGTGGCCGATGCCTGCACAGGGAGCTCGCAGCTGCTGCGTCTCGTATTGATTTTAGCCGTGCTTGAATTTCTGCTGCAAAATCGCTCTGAGTCGTGGCTGCCCGGATTAGGGGATGCTGCAGGAGCGGCGATGGCTCTTGCTTCAAAACTCAGGGCAGATTTATTACCAGCTCCCCTCCCAGCCGGCTCTCTGTGCTGGGATGTTGGGTCGCAACCAGCAGCGCTGGCCCTGGGGAAGAGGCATATGAGCTGGGGGTGGGCAGCAGAGCGGGGCAGGCAGTTAATCCAGGGGCCTTGCAGTGCTCGGGGCAGGCCAGATGGCAGCGGGAGGCATGTGGAAGGGGGACCATCTGCTGTGGAGAGCAGAGATCTGAGCTCAAAATCCCCTGTCCCTTCGCCTTCCTGTGCTGCGTGATTGACTGTGCCCACCAGCTGGGCTCTGCCCCATCACAGCCCCCCAGCACCACGGCTGCTCCGTGTGCAGCTGCACCACACGTGGGTGCCTCGTCAGCCCCTCTTCCCCAGGTCCTGCGTGTAGGCAGACATTGATTAACATAAAAGGCTTCCCCTAAGGATGGCTTCAAAAGGCCCGGGAGGTGTTCTGCGAGCCAATCTTCAGATGAATTACATCATTCTAACATTATGCACTTGTGCACACAGGTTTATGAGCATGCATATCCATAAATCCATAGCTGTATGCAGTATATATGCAACAGAATATCTTCTAAGTAACGGAGTTCTGGCACTATTAAAATCAGGTCATTGCCACGAGTAATCGGCTCTGGAACACTTTATTAATACCACGTCAGTCATGTGCTCTGCAATCAGAGACATCCAAAGCATTTAGAGGGCACATAAAAGAAATAGATACAGTGCAGAGTGCAGCACAGGCGTCAGTTCAGCCACAGTGACTCAGGGACAGTGACTAGGCTCTGCTCTAAAGCAGTCAGCGTGTTATTTCCCAGAGCTTGTGCTTTGCTGCAGTGTTTGCAGGTTGGAGGCACTCATCAGGCATCCCATAGAGTGGTTGGATGCGGCAGTGATTCCAACGCTGGATCACTTCTGTAATCTACACTTTTAATAGTAGCACAGAAATGAAGGGAAATGGAAAAGCAGTGAAAATTCTGTGTCAGAAATGTGGCAGAGCCTTGATTCTCAGTGACCACTGTTGTGCCTTTCAGCAGACAGGTATGACCAGAGATAGGCCATCTTTGGGATGACCTTCATCCATTGTGGTTGGACTTGATGGTCTTTAGGTCTTTTCCAGTCTGAGCAATCCTGTGATTCAAAACAGCCTGTGAAATGTTCAGGCTTTAAAAATCTGTAAATTCAATGATTTGACATAATGGGAGTTCACTCAGCAAGACAGACAGGCAAGCTGTGCAAAGCAGTGATTGGAGAAAGCTGTCAGGTCTTCCTGTTGCATCATCGAGAATTCCCCTCTGTGCCAGTGACGGTGATCTCGGACTTAGAAAGCAGAATGATTTCTGACAGATGAAAATGTTTGTGTTTCAGACACATTGGCAGTTGGGTGCACAGGGAGCAGGTCGTTGGCTCCCGCTCGGTGCCTGTGCGTGGCTCATTGGGGTGCAGCAGGGGGGACTTTGGGATCTGCTGGTTGATTTGGGAAGGCTGAAGCGGGGGTCTCAAAGAGCAGTGTGAGTGTTGTTGTGGTTTCTGCAGGGGCCTTGAACAAACAGGCTTGCTTGTCTCTGTAGCCATTTAGTTGGGTGTGAAGATGGAAGCAGCCAAGTTGTATCAGTGTGAGATGCTCATTTCGGGGAGGTTTCCCATCTGCCTGGTTTACTCACCATTTGCTCAAAGTTTTGTTTTGTGGCCTCAGTGCATGTTTTCTCCTTGTTCTTCATGCTGTTTCCCAACTGAAGATGTATTCTCCCTTGCAGGCATCACTCAACAAGCTGATGGAGACTCTTGGCCAGGCAGAACCTTATTTTGTCAAGTGCATTCGATCCAATGCCGAGAAGGTAAACCCTGTCCTGTGAGATCAATGCTGCTAATGGTGTGATTGCAAAACCCATGTTCTCTCATGCAGAACTCATTCTTTATCTCTCAGTCAGCCTGCTGGAAACCTTTAGAGTGTTGAGGTTTTGGAAACAGATCCTCCTAGAGCACAGCCACGAGGTGGGGAAGGAAGTAGTGAAGTGGACTAGAGTTGGGATTTAGTTCCTGATTTTCTGCTTAAAATCATCTTGGAAATACTTTGTAAATACGTAATTTTTAATTTTTTTTTAAATAAAAACCCAAACCCAAGTTGGGGTTATAAGATATTTGTACTTTCTTCCAGAATAAGCCACGTTAATCAGACTGATTCAGTGATAAAGGCAAATTCAAGAAATACGATGTAAGGATTGGTTTGTCTGCTGGGCTACAGATCTTCAGTTTAAAAAGAAGGTTATAGGAATATTTTTTTCATATATTAATCCTTTGCAGTCTTACCCAGATGGTTAAGAATACAAAGTGGGGCATCATTGCTCCATCTCACCCTGCTCATTGGCTGTGCTGTTGATGGGGCTTTCTTAGTCAGCTCAGAGGATCCAAAAACCCCTTCTCTGTAGCTTTCTGTCTAGTTAGATGTATGAAACTCTCCATCTGATGGCTCTGTAGGAGCAAACAGGATTCAACCCTGCTGCCATGAGCGTGGTTTCTGGGGCCCCACGCTGGCCCTCGTCATCGTTGCCAGTGTGCATGTCCTGCTGATGTGCTACACGTGCTGAGCCTGTTGACCCACCCACATGCTTAGAAGTCTGCTCAGGTGCTCGAAGCTCAAGGAAATAGCTGCTCATGGTTGGCCTCCTTTTCCCTTCCAGCTGCCCCTGAGGTTCAGCGACAGCCTGGTGCTCCGGCAGCTGCGGTACACAGGCATGCTGGAGACTGTTCGCATCCGCCAGTCGGGATACAGCTGCAAATACTCTTTCCAGGTTAGCTCAAGTATTTTCAGTCTTTCAGCACTTTCCTCATCGTTATTGCAGTTGTCTGAGTGTTGCTAGCTTGCAAGTGCAGTTGTGTTTTTACTAAACAATGAATAGATGACATTGGGAAGGGAGTACTGGTGGGCGGTTTTGCTAAGCTGAACCAGACCAAAGACTACAAGTCCCTCTGCAGTCATCATTATGGTTTTGGAAAAAAAATAAAAAATAAAAGCTTTATTTTTTCACAATACACACAGTGTATTTTCATAACACGTGCAAAATCACTTCTACAAATCTATATCCCTTCATAGTGATAAAGAGAAGTTCAGACTGATGATGGCTGGTCCCTGTTGGAGCTTTAACAGACCGAGTCAACAGGGTGTGAGAGTTACGGTTTGGGTTCCCTGTTAAAAGCATTATAAATATATTTTGGAGATTCCTCCGTGGTGTGACCCACCCAAATGACAAAGATCCTTCTCCTGTGTCTAACACCATAGGGCACTGAGCAGCTTTTTGGGTGCCCATTACTTTTGTTTCCTCAGGAGCGGCATTTTCCCCATTCTTTCAGCAGTGGCTGCATCCCATCATAAGGCTGACTGGAATGCTTTAAGTCATTGAAGGGTTATCCAACTTGTTGTATTTTCTGCTTTTCCATACTTTTGCCAGCTTTAGTGCACGTGTCAGTTCTTTCATGATTTGCTGTTGCCAGTTTGTTTCCTGCTGGCAGCTGCTTTTGGCCAGATGTCATGTCCTGTGCAGCAGCTGTTCAGAAAGGAGGACTGCTCAGGGTCTTTTTGCCATGAGGATGAATCCTGGCATTACTTGGGAGGATCATTCCTGATACCTCTGCTCTGAGTCCTCACAGCAGCAACCCTTGGAGCAGTCTCTTGCCCGTGATGCTTTGCAGATTCTGGTTGCTCCCTTTTGTAGTGGCCATTTCTGAGGATCTGCAGCATTTTTGCTCGAAGTGAGCTTGCACATTGTGCAGAATCCCTCCTCCCACGCTGGGAGATGTTTGAATGTCCCTGGGCCACTGCTTTGATGTGCTTCCTGTGCAGTTTTAAACCACAAATGATGGAGGAAACTCATTACTTTGCAGTCCGTAACATTCCATTTGTCCTTCTGCACCCGGACAGGTCCCTTTTGTGTGGCCAGCAGGGGAAAACCCAGTTACTTACGCAGATGACACAGCAATACCCACTTAACCCAATCTTAGTGTTTGTTTTTTTGCCTTCTCAGGACTTTGTGAACCATTTCCACGTCCTTCTGCCACAAGGAATCAGCCCATCTAAGCACAATGTCCATGATTTCTTCAGGAAAATAAAACTCAATCCAGACAATTACCAAGTTGGAAGAACCATGGTAAATGTTTATCTGCTTAAGATAAAGATATGCCTGCATTTGTGCGCAGTTATCTTAGCACCTTTGTATATGTTTTTAACTAATGAAAGTATTTTCCTGCTGTTCATCAGAAGCTAGTGGTTTAAAGGATGCTTTTAGTGGTGTTAATACAAAATAGTTGGTGTCTTCTTTTGACCAGGTCACGGGGATCAGGTTATAGGAAGGTAGCCTTCAAAACCCACGTGTGTGCAGGCAGCTCACTGTCTCCCTGGAAGGAAGGCAAAGGCTCTGTGATTCATGCCTGGTGCTTTTATTTCCCAGGTTTTTGTGAAGGAGCGCGAACGGCAGCTTCTGCAGGACCTGCTCCATCAGGAGGTGCTGCGCAGGATCATGCTGCTGCAGCGCTGGTTCCGCAGCATGCTCTGCAGAAGGCAGTTCCTGAACATGAGGCAGGCAGCAGTGATCATACAGGTAGGTGGCAGTGCCTGGCTTCGTCACAAGTACTTCCATGACTCCTATGGATACAGCTCTGGCTGCAGCTGGAGCATCTGATGCGTAAAATCAGTTCCCGTCTCCTAGGAAAGAACTTGCGATCAGAAGAGCAGTAGTTTGGGTGTGGGAGAGATGGAAAAATGGCATAAAGGCAGGTGCTATCCAGTTCCTAAACCATTCCCATTTCAAGAAGCTGTTTTTGCTCTGCTCGCTGTGTTTGCAGAGATTCTGGCGTAGCTACCAGAGCCGAAAGCAAGGCAAGCCATCACCAGACCCGCTCATGCTCAGCAAAGCTGCACTTGTGCTCCAAACCCACTGGCGAGGCTTCGTGGAGAGGAGGAGGTTTCTGCAGATGCAGTTTGCGGCCCACCTCATCCAGAGCTGCTGGAGGGAGCACCTGAAGCGGAGGCACGAGGCGGCCGCCAGCATCCAGGCAGCCTGGCGGGGGCACCGCGCTCAGCAGCGGTACAGAGCCAGCAGGCGTGGGGTGCTGTGTTTGCAAGCAGCATGCAGAGGATATTTAGCACGACAAAGGTAATGTTGGTCTTTGAATAAATGAGTAAAGCAAGAAATGCTTTCTGATAGCTCCCAGTAGGGAAAGAGTGAATTCTGGCACTGCTGAGACCAAAGCGACGTACACACGGTGGTGTCCCTTCGTGGCATTGCTGGTGCTGCTCCGCTCTTCCCTGATCCTTCCTTTGTCTGCACTTTCTAACAGGAGTTCAGTTAGCCGCCCATCTTACTCCTAGACTAAGCAGAGCCTATTTCAGGTTAGAGCACGTAGGCAGTGGAAAGCTGAGGACATAAATACTTGGAAGGGTTTTTTTCTTGGCAGCAACACCACTCTAAGTAGCCTATTTTTAACTCAGATTGGCTGGCCGATCTGCTTGCTGCACCATCTCACAGTGGATCAGTCAGCAAGTCAGGAGCAGGGGCAGCGGTTACTCACGCCAGGTGCTACAAGGAGAAAAGCATTCACAACCATGCCTCAGCTCGCTGGCCGCAGGGCAGGTCTTGATTTGTGCTTGGGGGGCACTGCCTACAAGGTGTGGAGTGACTGACAGAGAGCTGGGAGCTGCAAATAGCTCTTAGCATGGAGGATGAGTGCCTGTTTGCTGTGCCAGAGGCATCCCAGACAGGATGAGGGAGATGACAAAGCCAAGCTGATGCAATGTGTTACGATTTTCTGGCTTATAAGCGAGCTACACCAGGGTTGAAGGCTGGAGCTGCTGTCATCAGCACAGGAGAAGCTCACAGGTGCATGCGTCGGTGCAAATCCTGAGTAGGTGAGATGGCAAAAGAGAAGACTGGAAATGCAGTCTGTGCACAGAACATGAACATGCATCAGATTGTACCTGCCTTGCAAGGAGAGTTGCTTGAGATGCCGACAGTGGTGAGATGAAGGGAATGTCTGTGGTGACAAGATGCCACCAGTGCAGTGGGCACAGCGTTACAGTGTGCTGCTTTTCTGCTTTCTTGCAGGTTTAGAGCCTTGAAAGAGCAGAGGTTAAAAGAGATGCAGCTGGAGAATGGCCTGTCTATTAGAGAAGAGGATGGACTGGAGGAAGATGGGGCTTTGGAAATTAAGGGCTCTGACCCATCCAAGTGGGAGGATGGCTCGTTTGAAGAAAGAGTGAGAGCTATAGAGGAGCACAAGGCGCTGATGGAGAATAATCGGGTGAATCACTTGGACCTCCTGGACACTTCTGCAACGTCGTCATACAAGAGGCACGAGAGAGCCAGCAGCCAGAGCGGGATGGACACCGAAGAGGAAGTCATTGTACGAGAGAGACCCAAGTCACTGGAGGATCTGAATCAGAAGAAAGTCGTTCGTGCAAAAAGAGAAAGCCGGAGAATGCGTGAGCTGGAACAGGCGAAATTCAGCTTGGAGCTGCTTAAGGTCCGGTCCACTGGTGGGCTGTCACCCTCAGAAGAGCGGCAGTGGTCTACCGAGCTGGTGGTATCTGAGGCGCTTCATTCCCCTCAGGGAACCCCAGAGAGCGAGAGCTCTCAAGGGAGCTTGGAGATGTTAAGCTGCGAAGATACCCCAAGTAAAACCGTTCCCCTGGTTTTAGATGTTCAGCTGCTTCCCACTGAGAGCCGGGACTCTTTGCCTAGCAGTCCTCAGCCTCACCTGCAGGACAAGTCTTTCTGCGCAGCGGATGTGAACAGCAATTTATCCATTAGCAGAAGGATGCTTTCAGACTCTGAGCTGCCTGATAACCGCGCTGCAAAGGAGCACGTGGTCTGTGACCCCCAGAATATCTGCAAGATGCATCCAAGAGAAACTTTCCTTTCTAGTAATCTACCTACTTTCTACATTCCACCACAGGACAACATGAAGGTAAAGCAGTCACAGGTGGAGAATAACTTGAAGAACAAGGCGGTGGAAAGAGAGGAGAAAACAGCTATGTTCTCTGAGATGAGGAAGGACTCTGAGCAAGAGCAGGGCAAAGTTTTGGGAGGGGAGGAAGGAGAGAAGTCTTCTGCCAAGAGAGAGGAACGTGGGACGGCCGCTGCAACGCAGACCCACTCTCCAGACTCTGTCATCAAGAGACTGGAGAAGCTCAACGTAGAGAAGGAAGAGCGACAAAAGCAGCTCCAGTTGCAGAACGAGAGAGAGATGATGGAGCAGATCCGGCAGCAGAAGGAAATTTTAGAGAGGCAGCGCAAAGCCTTCGAGCAGCTGGAGAAGCAAGGCAGGGTGGAGGCTTTACAGCGGGCCGAACTGAGCAGAATGAAGGACCCTACTCTGAAACCATCCAAGAAACCCGACAGCCGGCCTCAGTCTGTCCTCATCCTGCACACCCAGAACAGAGCGGAGCACGGCGTGGCCCCGGGCGGAGCTCCAGCCTCATCAGTGGACATCAAAGGTCTCACCGTCGGGAGCAGGGGCGGCTCTCCGGCCCACGCTGCCCCCAAGGACAGACCGGTCAGCATGTTCATGGAGCGAAGGGAAGGCCCTGCGCTGGAATCACGGGGCAACCCCCGGCTGGCTGCAGACCCCAGGGACGCCCCGGGCAGCCCCTTCTCTAGGAATGAGCGCCTCCGGCAGCCCCGGGTGCCCAGCCAGCCCGGCGAGGAGATGCGGGCAGGTGCCATGTTCTTCACACCCAGAGACAATCCCTTCGGGCTCCAGTGAGTACAAAGATGGTGTGCTTGCTTTGTAGGCGTTATAGAGTCATAGAATTGTAGAATGGCCTGGGTTGAAAAGGCCCACAAAGCGCATCCAGTTCCAACCCCCTGCTGTGTGCAGGGTGGCCAGCCACCAGACCAGGCTGCCCAGAGCCACATCCAGCCTGGATCTTCCCCACATACTCCCTTCAATTTCATTTCCTAGTTGGCTAATGCACCAAGCAAGCAACAGGAAATGGAAAATTACATTTAAAAATGCCTACTTTTTGTCTGCCTGAAACTTAAGCATCTTTATGCTGTGACAAAGCAATGGCATTTCAAAATACAGAATTGGGAAGATACCATCTGTAACCACTGAGCAGGGTAGAGAGCAGCTTGGCGGGTAGAAATTCACACCTTCTTGTTCTTCAGCATTAAGTCAAACCCTAAAGAATTCTGAAAATCTGTGACCTCCAACTGCGATTTCTCGTTGATTGCTTGGGCTGTGTCCATCTGCGTTGCTGAGAGCTGTGCTGGCACGGGGGGAAGGCTTTTAGGAAAGAATGAAACGTCTCTGTTCTGTTGTCTTTCAGCAGGGAAGCAAGCCATCAATGCCTCCCCAAGGGTGAGCTGGCTCGGAAGCCGTTTAAGATGCCTGGGTCTGGCCGAGGAGAGGTGAGCTGCTGCTTTCTTATTTTCTCTTATGGTTGAAGAAGGAGAAGAAAACCCCCAAACCCTTATTTTGCCAAATTTCCCTCAAATGTAAAGCACAGAGACTGCTGTACTTGGGGGTGGGGATGTCACACAAAGGCAACTTTCACACTTTCTCTTGGCAAAAAGCCCCCATAGCTTAAGTGTAGCAGCTCTGAATTGCTCTGGATGACAAGGATCTCTCGCAGTCCTGATGGCAAACACTGTAGCACGCAGTCTTGTCTTGTTTGGTTTAATGTCCATTTAAGTAACATCCATTATTGTCCCACTTCCTCCGTGCTGTCTTGGCTTTTGTTTTTGCTGGTCGTTTTTGCACTACGTGTAGTAACGTGTGTCCTCCGTGGAGTGCAGTGTTCCTCAGACCGTATTTGAGCTGCGCTGCGTTGCCAGGCTTCAGTAGAATCTCCTTTTTTATTTTCACATTTTCATTTTACAAACTTTTATTTCTGTTGTTATGTTTTATCATTTGGTCAAGCAGGTTCCCAGACCGACCCATAAAAAGAAAGCCCGCATGGCGCGGACGCGCTCCGATTTCTTGACTAGAGGTACTTTTGCTGATGGGGAGGGGGATACGGAGGAAGATGATTACGATGGCAATTTTGAGTTCCTCCTCTCCTCTGACCTACCTCCTCACCCTGAGGCAGGGCCTGCGGCCCGGCTCGGCCAGGCTTGTTACAGTGACTCCGAAATGGTAATTTTACAACTTGCTGGGGAATAGGAGAAAGGAGGGAGCGAGATCTGCGGGAGCGTTTCTTTGCTAACCTTGGCTGCACGGATGCTACGCTGCTTCTTCTCCCACTCACACGAATGTTGTAGATGGGTAAACTCAGAGAACACAGCAGAAACGCATACGAAACAGAAGGGGATATTATTTCATTCTCTCTCCACCATGGTGATGTTTGCTGGCTTGGTTGGAGAGCGGCTTTAGGTTGCACAACTACCTTTTGTTTGTTCATTGCTTCACCAGGATTCCCTCCATTAGGAAGTGCCTGGGTTCCCACTGGCTCTAGCAAAGCGTATGCATAGAAAAAGAGCAAGGCAAACATTGGCCAGAAAAGCAACAGACAACGAGGAAAAAAATATAAACCTTGCACTTTTGATTTGGTATCCTTAGTTGGGTTATCGAGAGTTGTCCAGTCCTCAGTTATTGGGCAAATGTCAGCCGAGAGTATCTTAGAGAAAGTAAAAGCCTGTGAATTGGGCAATAAAAGCATAGCGTGTTTAAAAACACCTTAGTGGCTCTGTCCAGGAGGGGTGGCAGTGACTGAGAGGTTTGGGGGGTGCAAGAGGACGGCCCCTTGCTACTCTTGCCCACTTTTCCTGTGGCTTGAGGTGCCTGTGCTGCCCACGTAGATGTTGGATGAGCACAAGGCAGTGACCATCTCATGTGTAAGTGCTCACATGGCTTCACTCGTATGCTCCAACTCCAGGGATGGATGTGGGATAGAGCATAAAAACAAAACTACGAGCAGGATTGGCTTTTCATTTTGTGCCCATTTTGTGGTGTTGCCACAGCAAATATCTCATGTGATCTTAAAATCTGCCTTTGTCAGGAAAGCTAAGGAGGGCTTTTTTGACTTCTCTGTTAGCAGCTTTTATTATACACTTTTTTTTTCCCCAGGATAATTTCCTAACCAGGAAGGGTGAAAAATTCAGATTGTCCTGATAAAATCTCGTCTTTTGAGCCAGGAATACCTCTAGTGCTGTCAGGCAGGAACGTGATGGAAAGGTACAACTCTTCAAACCGAACTCACTCAGCTGCCCTTTAGTCCATCTCCCTGCTTTTGTAACAGGAAAGGGAGAATTTTACATAGGACTTATGTCAGAACCAGTTTTTTCCCCCTCATTTGGTGAGAAGTCAGCTGAAGTAAGCATGCCCCTGCAGATGCAGTGCCTCCATCCTGCCCCCTTGCTTTCACTCAAACTGTGGATTTGAAGACGCGATGAGAAAGGGAGAGTGAGAAGATACTAACTTAAAAGAATCAAAGATCTTTTAAATGGGGAAAAAATAGGAACAAGAAGCCAAACTGGGAGGTGCAGGTCTGAAACCATCTGAGGAGCCCAGGAAAGCTATGTTGCCTGAAGGCTGTCCCAGGCGCTCAATGCGTGCTGATGTGCTTTTGTCCAAGGGAGTCTTGGTAAGGTGAAGGCAACAGAATTCTCCAAGGTGATGTTAAATGCCAGCATTTCCCTCTGGATTTCCTTCTGCCACAGTCTTGTTGGCTGCTCAGATGGCAGTGGACCAGGTCCTTGGAAATGCTGGAAGCAGCAGCTCAAAGCATGGCGAGGGTCTGGGACAAGTGTCCTGCTGTGTTCCTGGAGGCTACCCTGTTACAAAGCTTTGTTTTTTAGCTGTAGAAGTCTTTCCCACTGGCAGTCTCTGCTGAGCAAGAAAACTCCATCCCTGGGAGGGAGCTGGCTCACGTAGAGGTGCTGCTGGGACTCTGCTCACCTGGGTTAACAGCTCTCGCTGCATGCAAGTAGCAATAGTGCCAGCTGTGTCTCATCTCTCCTCCTGTATCTCTTTTCTCTGTGCTCTGTCCCCGGCTCTAACTGTGGGTCAGACAGCAGTTCCACATTGCGGGGTTGAGTTCTGCTTTCTAGCAAACCCTACTCGTAAAGCTGTGTGTGCAGTGTATCCCGTGTCTGTGTGTCCTGGCCCCACGTACGGTGTTTCCATCTGTATTCTGTATTGCAGGTTTGGCACCAGCTCTTTGGCTTCTCTGTGTCAGGATCACCACACCATTAAGGGAGAGCTCTTGAAAGCAGCAAAGTTGAGGGACTGCTTATTCGTATTTATTAGTAGAGCCCAGCTGGGTGTTGCAGATGATGAAGCAGCCTAAAATAGAGCAGAGTGGTGCACCTTGGGTTCAAGCAGGGGATATGCATGTGGCCATATCTATTGTGCCTTGTGATACTCACATGAAGGCGCGTCCAGCCGTCTCCATATGCAGTCTAGTTGTTGTTCTGGTAAATAGCTTATTCATACAGATCCTGCCCCTGGCTGCAGCTTTCCCAAAGGCCTCTTTTGATGTGCTGCTTGGTGGCTGAGCACGTGTAACCTTGCACAGCTGAGCACAGGGTGACTCTGCACTAGCACTGTACTGGCACTGTGTTACCCCTTGTTTTTTTGGGGCAGTGGTGGCTCACCAGGCACTGATGCTCCAGGCCTAAATCCAAGAGCAGCGAAGACCACGAGCATCATCAGCCAGGGCCACAGCCCGAGGTGCACCAGTATAGTAGGTGGCTGCTTAAGGTACTGCTGACTGCAGGGAGCCCAAGTGCCTTTTAGATTGAAGCAGTGATGTATTTTGCTCCAACTTCCATCCTAAAGCCACAAATTGACAAACAGCAGCCTGACACCCACTGATCCTGAAGAGCCAGCTGTGACAGAAGAGCTCTTGTCCCAAGATTTAGGAAGCCCTTCAGTGCAGCGTGCAGCACTGCTGCCTGCTGGGACAAATCATCTCATTTGTGAAATGGCAAGCAAAATAGAGGTTGTGCTTTTGGAGGAAAAAATGGGGTTCCCTCTTCCTCCACAGGATGATTGCAGACTCCTGGCTTCGTGCTTTGTGGTGCACCCAGGGTGAGGAATGTTTCCCAGGCAAGGATCTGGCCCTTCTGCTGGAGGAGTCCCTCAGACAAAAGGATCAGTGTCAAAAATGCCTTCAGTCCTCTCTCAGAGCCTTGCAGTGGTAGCAGAGGAAACACTTAGCTGAAACAGTCCGAAAATAGAGGCAGAGCAGGGAGATACGTGGTGGTACTGGTCAGATTACAGGTAGGGACCATCTCCCTATGAAAGCTTTGCAGGGAAGCATGCGGTCCCAGAGGTGCCTACGTGTGACAAAAGAAAGGCCACAAAGTCACTGTGAGCCTTAGCAGTGAGGCTGTGTGCCTCTTCCACCTGTGCACTCAGGCACCGATGCCAGGGAGCACACGGTTTTGTTCCATGCTGGTAAAGGTGAGGATCATTTCCAGGCCCCATCTATTAGCATGCAGCAGGCAGTGATGACCCTGCTGTGTTTTGCTTCATAGAAAGACCTTTTAGCAGAATTTAACAGAGAACTTTCTCTCTGTCCTGACGTGTCTAATCCATTCCATGGATTATGAGGTCTTTTTTTGCCTTCTATCTCTCCACCACTTACATGGGATCATCACTGAGATGGTATCACTGACAAGAGGAACAAGAATGGCAGTTTTGCCTTGTGTGCTGCCATCTCCTGGCTGGCAAGGAGGTTAGTGCAGGGTGAGGAATGAACTGGAGATTGGTGAGGCCCACGTATTGCAGAATTTTATATGAGTGTTTTTAATAGGAAAAAAAAAGGGGGGGGAATGCTTAAAAACACAATGCATCCAGCTGGGAATCTAGGTTAAGGGAAAGCTAAAGAAGATACCTTCAAGTCACGTCACGCAGCCTGATTCCCTGCTTCCCAAAAGTCCCCCCTCCAGTCACAGCTGCCATGGAAAAAAAGTGCAAAAGTGGCTGTTCTTATAAATGTGGTCAGAATGTTTCTGGGCCACGCTGCCTTTTGGGTGGCTTCTTCCTCTGTGCTGGGCAAACCAAAGGGAGATCTCAGGAATGCTTCCCAAGACAAATGGTGTGGCTCACATAACAGTGGTGAACGCCTGTGAGCACATGAAAAGAGAGATAGAAAGGTAACATCTCTGTTTGTGCTGCCTCTTGGGACACGCTTTTTGGATAGCAACTGCAGGTCATTAAGCATCTCAGCTCAGGCCTCTCCCAGGGAGAGGAGGAAATGCACCATCTCTTGCCCTGACTCTCTTCCCAGGCACGAGACAATAGAAATAGTGCAAAATCACTGTACAGTGTGAAATAATAATTTGTAATTTATTGTTTGTGGAATTCCGTTAATTATTGCAAATTCACTTTGCCCTTAGGAAATTATCCCATGACTCTTGAAGTGGTGATGAAAGCAGGGATCTTTCATATCAAAGCTGTTTAATGTTTCTAAAGGATCCATCTTAATGAGTCCTTGGCACAAAGTCTTTGGATTCCTATTTTTGTTCCCTTCTGCAAAGTCTCATATGGGAGCCTGAAGGCAGGCTCTGCTGGGAGGGATCCATGCTGTAGGTTTGGGAGCACCACAAATCAGCTTGGCTTGGCTAACGATTGTGCTAATGGGCTCTAATTGAACGCAGAGCTGCCCAGCTCTGTGCTGGTGACAAACCTGTGGCCTGGGGCACACTGGCTTTCTGCATTTGTTACTAAAGAGAAGGTAGACCTCAAAGCAGGAATGAAGAACTGTCCTGCTTTAGAAATCCTTATATACTTCAGTAGTTGCAGTTGTAGCTAGGACTATAGCAGATAAAAATAAAGGTGTGTTTTTCAGTCATTACAGGTAAAATCTTTAACTTTTGCTTTAAGAAAAAACCTTATCTGGCATTCCAAGAGCGGTGTCATTTTTTAATAGTTCACCCTTGAATCATTACAGACAGTTCAGCGGTTCTCCTCGGGGGATGGCCAACCAAAGCTTCACAAAACCATGTCTCAGGGGGAGATTGGGAAGCTGGCAGCCACACAGAAGCCCCTTGCCCCAGATGGGAGGTAAGGAACATGGGACAAGCCTGTCCCGGGCCCTTCTGCATCCCTGAACCCTGCTGGTCCTCAGCTCAGTAGTTTTGATTCAACCAGCCGTAATCACCGATTGCATGTTTTGTACGTGACCATGAGCTTGCAATCGTACAGATTTGCCAAGAGGCCATCATATAAATTTAACTCCTAAAGGGACGTGAAGGTCTGGGAGGCGTTGGGTAATTCTGAGCCGAAGGACACTTCCCTAGTTAAGGCAGTTCCTCTTGCCGCAAATTGTTTGCAGGTCTCAACGAGCCAAGATGAGATTTTGGGGGAAGGGAAAGCAGGGGGAGAAGAAGACCCCCCGGGAGAAGCTTGCCACGCAGTCTGAACTGCTGGAGCTGTATGCTGAGCAGGAGGTGCCCAGCAGAGAGGTGGCTGCTGGCCTGCAGCTTGGCGAAGGTGAGTGGTGGGTGAGCAGGCAGCGGTGTGTTGTAGTGGCACAGATACTGCTTTTGCTGTCATAGCAGAGATGAAAGCTGTAGCTGTTGGGAGTCTGGATTTACGTAGCCGTTAAGGGTAACCTAGTTCATGGTGATGTGGGTAAAGACGTAGAAGGGAAGGATGTGGAGCTCTTGGAGCGGGTCCAGAGGAGGACCACTAAGATGATCAGAAGGCTGGAGTACCTCTCCTATGAGGAAACGTTGAGGGAACTGGGATTGTTCAGCTTGGAGAAGAGAAGGCTCCAAGGAGACCTCATTGTGGCCTTCCAGTGCTTGAAGGGAGCAAACGGCTGTTTGTGAGGGTGGATGGTGTTAGGACAAGGGGAATGGTTTTAAACTGACACAGGGGAGGTGTAGGTTGGATATGAGGAGGAAGTTTTTCAGCCAGAGGGTGGTGATGGAACAGCTGCCCAAGGAGGCTGTGGATGCCCCATCCCTGCAGGCATTCAAGGCCAGGATGGATGTGGCTCTGGGCAGCCTGGGCTGCTGGTTGGTGACCTGCACACAGCAGGGAGTTGGAACTGGATGAGCACTGTGCTTCTTTGCAACCCAGGCCATCCTGTGATTCTATGATAAATATGTTTGTCTGTAGGGCTGAAGTATCTGTAAATTGGAGTTTCAGACATGGTTGTGTGATCTGTGTGAGGCTGCTGTAGGAAAATGAATTGGGAAATGGCACAGATGGGGAGGACATGCTGCTTTGCTTCTGTTGACTTCAGGAGTTACATCAACCCTGTGGCAGGAAAGGTAGAAACTGGGATCCAGAACAGATCTGGAGGGATTCAGAAAGCACTCTAAAGAGATACTGTGCAATACGATCCAAAGCAGATGTTATTTCTTTCACAATTTCTGTGTAGTTTTAGAAGTAGGAATTGTCTCTTCACTCTGGAAGACAGAGGACAAGGGCAGAGGACAAACCTCTCTCCCCAAGCCCCAAAGCCAGCTGTGTGCCGTCACCAGCAGCTCCATCTCCTGCCCTGGAGCTAATCCTCCCTGCAGCCGTCTGGACAGTGACAGATGTTTTCCCTCTTGACAGAGGAAGTAACCAATGGAGAAGTGACATTTAATCTTCCTACAAGCACCACACAGTACTTTTCTCCTCCTGTCTCCTTATTTTGGTGACAGAACTGTTTTCCCTTTGTGTTACCTTGGCTGTCGGTACAGCTCTGGGAAACGGTGCATCATTTTTCACTTACTGAGAGCTCATCAGCTGCCACAGGTTTTTATTACTGCCTGAAACAAGCCCTGCTTCTCTTTCAGGTCCTACATAAAACACAGGAAGAAGCATTTTTATTGATTCATGCTTCATCTCACCTAATTCAGGAGATGCAGAAAAACAAAACGCACTGCAGAACTCCAGTGGAGTCAAACACCAAACAAATACTGCCGCAGCATTTCCGGCCAGGCAGGGAGCGTGTCAGCTAACCTGTGCTTTTTTCTGTCTCTCCTTTTCTAATTATTACCCCTAGAGTTGGGTCCTCACCATCTGACGCCGCCGCGGAGCCCTGAGCTGTCAGGAATCTACCGAAGGGAATTTAAGGAGAACAAAGAGCCTTCTCCCAAAGTGAAGCGCAAACGTAGCGTCAAAATCAGCAGCGTGGCTCTGGAGCCTGTGCAGTGGCAGAACGACTCGCTGCAGATCATAACCAGCGCGAGCGACCTGAAGAGCATGGATGAGTTTCTCCTGAAGAAGGTAACGCCTGCCGTTGGTGCTCCAGTTAAATCATCAGAGAGCTCTGAGAGCAGGCGGCGGCGGCAGAGCGATGTTATCGTGGAAGCAGCAGTAGCAAGGCTAATAATCCATCTAGGGGAAAGCTTTAGTTGCGTTCCCAAAGCTGCTAAGAGTGCACAGCATGTGCCAGGGCCAGCCTGGGACAAAGGGCAGGCACACTGTGCACATATGGCATGGTCATTTCACATGAGCGCAGCAGCTCTGGCGCTTCCACTGCTTTGAACTGCCCCTAAATGGCATCAGAAATGGGAGACTCGGGAGGGCAAGAGTTGAAGGCACCAGGGAAGCACTCGTGTTTCCACATTCTGAGTTTGTGTGCAGGACAAACTGCCTTGCAGCCGCATGTTGTCATCATCTGCCAGTGGTGGGGCAGCTGCTCGTTAGCGGCGCTCCGTCTTACGTAGTGCCACAGCAAAAGTCACGTTGGTGCATAACGCCCTTTGGTTTCCCAGATGAATGAGCTGGATAACGAGGACAGCAAGAAGGACACTCTGGTGGATGTTGTGTTCAAGAAAGCACTGAAGGAATTCCGGCAAAACATCTTCAGCTTTTACTCCTCAGCGTTAGCGGTGAGTGAGCGGGCAGCACGTGGCAGCATCTCCAGGAGATGCTTTGAGTTCTGCTGGTAGGGATGTCACCAGGCCTTCGATTCCCGATCTGCTTATCCTAAAGGGAAGATGCTCTTCATTTCCGTTCAGTCCCATGAAGCTGTAAATTTGGAATTGCCCTTCCTCCTTAACTCAGCGTACTTCAGGTGTAGATTTCAGGTCCACTGGAAAGTAGAATGGGTTTCAGCTGAATGGGAAATGACAATAAGTCAGTAAACAGCTCTCTGCCACCCAAGTGGTCTGGAAACCTGTGTGTTAAAGTTGTGAGTTGTGAACATCTGAGAAATGCAGTGAGTTAAAAGCCATTTGGACTGAAATAATTGCCTGGAGCAGAGAAGGCAGCTTAATATGAGTAAAAATTTCTTTTTTTTCCCCTTCTGTTTCTGTAACAGATGGATGATGGGAAAAGCATCCGCTATAAGGACCTGTATGCCTTATTTGAGCAGATTCTTGAGAAGACCATGAGGCTTGAACAGAGGGACTGGAGCGAGTCTCCAGTTAAAGTCTGGGTCAATACATTCAAAGTCTTCCTGGATGAATATATGATAGAGTACAAACCCCTGGACTACACTGCAGTGAAGGTACTCAGCATTTTCTGGAGCTCTTGGAAGATTTGTGAGCTATCTTTCTGCAGAGTCACACTCAGACACCTGGTCTGTTGTCTTCTCTTGTGTTGTGAGCTGAGGTGGGCCATGTAAGCAGGCACACAAGGCTTGATTCACTGGTGTTGTTTTATTGGGCTCAGCAAACTCAGGTTCTTATCTGGGATGAGCTAGGCCTTCTCCACTGCCAACAAGTGGACCTTGTCTCCAGGGCCAATCCTCAGCTATCTATGGGTGGGAAGGCAGCTCAGATCTTTGAGAGATGAGTAAAGGCAATGTGCTGTTTTTTCTTGGGCTTTCCTAGGCTCTTGAGCACCAGTGACCACATGCATCACTCTTGGTCTGGCTTTGGGAGCAGGGTATGTGGGTAGTGACCTCAGGGGCTGAGTTCAGGCAGTCAGTGTTCCTCCACAAACCTGACCTCCTCGCTTTCTCCTCCCTTTTGTCTGCAAGGACCATCCCTGGGTCTTGGAAGATGGTGTTTCTTGCACATCAAGTAGAGCAGATGTCCCATCTTTGATCTGCTCTGAGTCCTCAGGCTCTCCGCATAGGATTTCTTCCAGGGCTCTGGCTGCAGTGCTGTGCCTTTGGGTGTCTTACTTGGGATCGAATGCTTTAGGTCACAGGTGCTGGACATGGAGCCAGAGTAGCAGCTAATCCCAGCTCTGAGATGAAGATGGTGACAGTTGGCTAGGGGATTTCTGAAAGTAGGGTGGTCCCTTGCAGGAGTGCTCCTCGGAGTGCATGGCAGGACGGGGCTGGAAAGAGGTGGAAAAAGTCACGTATGAGAGCTGTGCATGCTTTCCTTGTGGGGATCGTCTATTAACATGCTCAAATCTCTTTTAATACCAGGTGCCAAAAACGGAACGAAAAAAGAGAAGGAAAAAAGAAGCGGATGTGGTGAGTTGAGCACCCTGGGCCTGTGTGTAAGAACCAGTCCTTGCGGCCAGAGCTGCACCTGATAAGAGAGCTGCTAATGATACGTGCTGTGGTGAGATCCCAGTGTCTCATCTAGTGAGCGTGCAACCTCAAAAAGGTGCGAGGGAGATGGACAAGGTGAATTTGGTTTGCCTGTGAACGGCGGTAGGTTAAAACAACAGGCTGTAAAGCAGCACTGCTCTTCAGATCAAGGACTGCTGTAGGTTGTTCTATGAGAACACGTCCCGCGTTAGTCAAGACCAGATGTGTATCTGACAGAGCTCTTGTCTTGAAGGATGTAATGGCACTGGGAAAGACGTAAAGGAAAAAGGGCCATGGAAGCATAGAAGAGCTCTTCAAAATGGAGAGCTCGACCAGTCGAACGCAGCTGGTTTCTAAACTGCTTGATGAAGATTTGTTTCCATACAGGCTGGATTTCTGAGCTGCTGCAGGGTTATTGGTCCAAAAAGAAAAGAGAAATAGCACAGTGGTTCTATGTAGGAGCCCATGCTGGAGAGCTGCCCCCATTGGGTTCCCCATTCTGAAGTCTCCAGTCTTTTTCTCACTACCACGTCAAATCTTTCTCGTTGCAGGTCGAAGAGCACAATGGGCACATTTTCAAAGCTACTCAGTACAGCATCCCCACCTACTGTGAATATTGTTCCTCCTTGATCTGGATAATGGACAGAGCTTCTGTTTGTAAATGTAAGTGTGCTCTATTTGACTTTTTTATTTGCTTACATTGCTTAATTATCTTAATTAAAATATAATTAAGATTATATTAACATGCTTATATTACAGTCACGGGGTTTGGGGCTCTGAAAGGGTTTTTCAACTGTTTTGGACAACCCCACTGTCCAACGTTTGGGGTTTTTCACATTAGAATAGCTTATGAGACAAACCTTAAGGATTTCTGAAGTCACCCGGTGAGTTCATCCTGCCATTCCTTCCAGAATATACAGTGGTGTTGTGCTTGGGAGCTTTATTTAAGAAGTCATAACTCATGATTTGAAACCATTCAAACCACCTGTAAGTACTTTAAGAAGGGATGGTAAGGTTCTGTGACAGGTATGGCACACATGCCCTACAACTGCACTCTGTGGGATGAATGCCTGCGAGTCTTGTGGCCATCATTGTGCTTGGAGAATTTGACCTGCAGGCACTTGGACTTTGGGGTAAATCAGGAGAGTGGAGATGAAGAAACAGGCAAGGTTGAGATCTTATTTTGTTTTTTTTTCCATTGATTCTTCAATTAGGTTAGAAATAGCCACCCTGTGGAGCTTCAGGCTGGTATCCAGTGCAGGAAGAATACAAATTAGGTGCTATTTCCAGTCTCTGAGTATATCCATGTCTGATAGCTCAGAGTGACTCATGGATTGTTTTCTGAGTTGATCTGTCAGGTTTTTTTAATGCTTCAGGGACTTAAATATAGAGCCTTTAAAATGAAAGGCTTAATTTTTTTTTTTTATCATTGGAGTGAATCTAATACAGAATTGACCCCTAAAAATGCAAATTTGCCTTGCCTTTGACCTCCCAGCCCTAAGAAGAATTACTTAATTCACATTTCTGCAGAGGTCTGAAGTTTTGGATTATTGAGTGCAATTTTTTCTTTGCTGCAGTATGTAAATACGCTTGTCACAAGAAGTGCTGTCTCAAAACCACGACCAAGTGCTCCAAAAAGGTAAGCTCCTCTCGTTCCTTTTTTCTCATTGAATACCTTTCTACTTGTGATCCCAGTCTCGTACAGCCCCTTTTTTTAATGAACACTTATGGGCACGGACCTGAGCACTGAGCTGGCAATGACCCTTTGCTGAGCTGAAGGTTGGACTGGGGCTCCCTGGAGGTCACTCCATTCACTGCTTCTGTGGCTGCACATATTTCACTAGTAATACAGTGATGCATCAATATATATCTGCCCAGTCATGCAGCACCTCCTCCAGTGATGTTCCCTGGCTTGTAGCCATGCTGAACGATAGAAACCTGCCTCATTTTGTAGTTTTCAAGGACTTCAAAATGTGGCTGCTATCAATAAATAACATTTTTTAATAGTCAGTGTTATTAGAAAGAGAACTTGCGAAACCCAGTGTCTGTCACAGTGGTACTTTGGTTTTGACTTCTGTGGCTTTATGCTTGTTTTCAGAAGGTCAGGATGCCTCCAGTGGCGTTCTTGCAGCCCACAGCCAGAAGCAGGACCCACTGCAGCACCTCCAGCCTTGGTTTCTCGAGGCTGATGCCTTTGTTCCCAGTACAAAAGGCAAAAATACAGGTTGCTCTTCACCCCGCTGCTCTGATAGGGCTCGGTCCCCAAAAAGCTGCAGCCCTGCAGCTGAGCTGTGGCACGAGGACGGGGACAGCAAGAGGTGAAGGGTGGGCGGATGGTGCTGAAGCACTTGCTGTGCTCATTAGAGGTGAATTAAATACTGCTGGTCGTGTTGGAGGATATGATTGACAGTGAATGAATGCAGCGGGTCACACCAGTGAACAGTGAGTCATCAGGCTTTCTTTTTTGGTTGTTGCTTTGGATCGTTTATTTCGTGCTGCTTATGCCCCCAAAAAATGATAATGCAGCCAGGATAATAATGTGTGCAAAGCTTTATGAGCCCTCAGGAGGCTTTGCAGGTGTACAGCCTCCACAAAGTGTAATTACATTTTTCCCAAGAAATAACCTGAATATGTATACATGTATTTAAATGTGTTTGCTTTGATATGACGTTTCTTCTGCACTTTCTTCCTTTCTGGCAGTCCATCTTTGCAAATTGGGAATGCAAATTGGGTTCTATGAGGTTCTGCTCTACAGATCTGGGAAGCTTCGTGAAATCACTGATTTTTTTCAAAGAATATGGCAGTGTCTTCCATACTTGCAGACCTTTTGCACCTGTGATGTGAGATCTGAGCAACAGAGCCTCCTCTTTACAGGGAGACCTTCAGGCTTTGATAGATGCTACTGTTCTTACGGGGCACAAGAAGAAGCTGCTCCTTGTGCCAGTGCTTCAGTGACACTCACCAGGAATGCAGCAAACAGGAAGAGTTGAGGCTGTTAACATTTTGCAGGACAATAGGAGAACTGCCTGCAGTGGGTTCATTAGTTAAATGTCACAAAGGAGGTACTGATGTGTTCACCTCAGTTGATCTTTCAGTCCTTTTTTGTTCCTTTCTTGAAAAACAAAACTTAAAACAGCTCTCAATGGTTGCTCAAAGATGCTTGGAGTCTTCTCATGCTATGTTGTTTCTCTGCATCAGTTTTTATGAGCTGACAATGAAATGACAGTGTCTCCACTTGGATGGTTCCAGGTCTTCCTGTAGGAAGGCTCTGGCTTGCCTGTGCTTGGTGGATCCCTGTTTTTGGGGTTGCTTTCAGCAGCGAGCTGTGCATTATTGGTGGAAGGATGGCGTGAGTAGGGAAAGTAAAGATGTAGGAGTTGTAAGAGGAGCTGTGACCTGTTTCAGAGCCTTGCACTGCATCGTGTGCTGTCTTGATTCCCTGTGCTGGGACTGGGCACTTGTGTCCAGATGCTGTTAGGTCTTTGGCCAGGAGCGCCATAACCATGGTTGTTAAACAAAGAAAACCCCGTGGTTATGACTTTGGGTCATGGCACATCGCTTTCTGCAGTTTGTTTCAGCCCTTTCCCATTTTTCTCTTCCCATCAGTACGATCCTGAGCTCTCGTCCCGGCAGTTCGGAGTGGAGCTCGCCCGGCTGACCAGCGAGGAGCGAGCCGTGCCGCTGCTGGTGGAGAAGCTGATCAACTACATAGAAATGCACGGGCTGTACACAGAGGGCATCTACAGAAAATCAGGGTCCACCAACAAGATCAAGGAGCTGCGGCAAGGGCTCGATACAGGTAAAAGGGAAAACAAAGCGCAGGAAGAAAAATCTCTGCAACAGCAAGAGTTGGTGTAAGCAGGCGCTGCTTCTGCATTTCCAACCAAATGCCCATTCCAAAATCTGGTTTTGCTTACAGCTTAATATTGATCGTTATTTCTTCTATTTATGCCTTCTTCTCAACGCTCTGCTGGGCCTCACCGAGCAGACATAGATAATGTGAATTTAGATGACTACAACATCCACGTCATTGCCAGCGTCTTCAAGCAGTGGCTCCGAGATCTGCCCAACCCTCTCATGACTTTCGAGCTGTACGAGGAGTTTCTGCGGGCGATGGGTAAGCGATGGTCCTTTCCCACTGCTACAGGGTGGGTTGAGACTGGATATAAGGAAGAAAGTTTAAAATCCGAGAGTGGTGAGGCCTAGGAGCAGGTTGCCTAGAGAAGCTGTGGATGCCCCATCATTGGAGGTGTTCACAGCCAGGCTGAATGGGACTCTGTGCAGCTCGGTCTAGTGAAAGTGTCTGTGTCCATGGCAGGGGAGTTGAAATTGGATGCTCTTTATGATCCTTTCCAAACCAAACCATTTTGTGATTTCAGTTCCCAGGCTGAGGGAAATGAGAGCTACTTGAAGTACCTAATTCTGTATTTACATTTGGGGCCCAAATCATCTTACTTTGCCCAGTCTTATTTGCCCAGAGTCTGACGTTCTGCTGTGAGTTTGTTTACACAAAGCCACAGGCAGGTCAGCATTGTGCTCGGTAGCGTGACTTTTCTTTGCTGTGCAGCAGACATAAGCCCAACCTGTTCGCCAGCTACGTCTTTTTAAGTAGTGCAAATAGGCAAGAAGAATGTGTGATTTTAAACAGTGAACAGAGGTGGAATGCAGCAGTGCCCCTAACAAGGCTGGTGTGTTCTCTGCAGGCCTGCAGGAGAGGAGGGAGACGGTGCGAGGAGTTTACTCGGTCATTGACCAGCTCTCACGCACCCATCTCAGCACCTTGGAGCGCCTCATCTTCCACCTGGTCAGGTACACAGGGCAGGCAGGGCAGCCGTGGGTCATCGTCGGCAGTGGCAGAGGTGAAGGAGCTGCCTTCACCCCTGGCTTCTGTAGTAATCTTTTTTTTCCTTCAGGATTGCTCTCCAAGAAGAGACCAACCGAATGTCAGCTAACGCCTTGGCCATCGTCTTTGCTCCCTGTATCCTCCGCTGCCCCGACACGACGGACCCCCTGCAGAGCGTTCAGGACATCAGTAAAACAACCACGTAAGAAAAGCTTTAGCGTGGAAATGATAAAACCTCTACAGCTGTGCCTGTTAACTGCATCTTAATGAAGTATTTCGTGTTCTCTCAGTAGTCAGTGGGGTTAAGAAAGGGAGGATCCGCCAAAGCAGACCAGGGGTTTAAAACAAGTTCTCTGCATCCTTAATGACCAGCAGATCATAGCAGAAACAAGTGGAGCTTGTGCTGATGTGTTAATCCCGTTCATGACAGCCAGATCTTTATTCTGTTGTTGGAGACCCACCTGGTAGGACCCATATAGCACTGCCCATTTGTGTGTTATAATCATGTGGAATGTTTCTGTGCTTGCTGCAGTTTGGGTTAAGCTTGGCCGTAACTTCATAGAATCATTAAAGTTGGGAAGGACTTCTTTAGATCATTTAATCCAACTTTTAACCCATCCCCACCATGCCCACTAACCATGTGTCTCAGATCTGCTGTTTTCTGCAACAGCACCTCCAGGGATGGTGACTCTGCCACCTCCATGGGCAGCCTCTACCAACACATTACCACTGTTTCTGAGAATAAATTTTTCCTAATTATTTCCACACTGCTGGCTGATTTTCAGCTGGCTGTCAACTTATACCCAGAAGTATAAGTTATTAAGAAATATTTTCCTCTGCACAGCTTCCAGCCTTGCTGCCCCAAGCCTGTAGCAATGCCTGGGGTTGTTATGGCCAAACACAGGACCCAACCTTTGGTCTTGTAGCTCATCCTGTTGGCCTCAGCCCATCGATGCAGCCTGTCCAGATCCCTCTGTAGGACCTGCCTGCCCCCAGACAGATCATCGCTTCGTCCCAACTTGGTGCATAAAAATATCAAACAGGGCCGCCTGCAATACTGACCCATGGAAACTTTTTTCCGTGGAAACAAATAAGAGACATTACTTTTGGAACTATGTATTCTGTCGCTCTTCTTAGGGAATTTCCTTGGTCTTTTTCTTTGCATCCTTGCATGCTGAAGCTCTCAAGCAGAGCAGATCTTTACACCAGGCAGAGACAGCTGTAATAAAAACCTTTCTGATTCCAGTTTTGTCTTTTTTTGCCTCCCAGCTGTGTAGAACTCATTGTCATCGAGCAGATGAACAAATACAAGGCTCGCCTCAAGGACATCAACAGCCTGGAGTTTGCTGAGAACAAAGCCAAGAGCCGCCTGTCCTTGATCCGCAGGTCAATGGTGAGATGCTGCACCTGCCCAGACTCGTGTCCCTTTCCTTTTACAAGGGAATTTGCACCAAGGCAGATATCAGGTGTTCCCGTGGTGCATCCATCATAGCCGCAGAGAACATCTGTCTTGCTGCAGAGAAAGTCAGACTGCTTTCTGGCTCTGACACAGTCACCTCTCTTCTCTCCTGTCCTCTCCTTTCACTTGAAGCAATCCTGCTTACCTCTCCTTGCTTATTCCAGGCTCCCCACCCCCTTGCACCTCCCAAACCATCCCACCCCAGGCAGCACATCTCCCAGCCCCATGGCAGCTCGCCATGATTTCAGGGAATTAGGCAAAACAAAAACCCAGCAAAGGCGATGGGAAAGAAGCCTGAGAGAGGGCTCGATGGAAATGCAGTCACTCGAGCTCAGAGGCTCCTGTTTACATTTCAGGCTTTATCTTGCACATTCGAGCAATTTGTGTTGAATCCAGGCTCTGCTTACCTTGCTGTCACCCCATGCACAAACGCAAGGGAGACCTGGACTGAAGCAGCCCACAACCACTGGCTCTGTCCTCCTTGTGCTGCTGATGAGCTCAGTAACATCACCTGAATCCAAACTGAGCTCCCTGAGGCTCCCCAACCATCTCATTGAGCTTCCATGCTTTGGGGTGAGCGATGGCTTGCTCTGGCTCCTGCTCGTCCCAGCGCACCGGTGGGCTGCTGATGCTACGTGTGGCTTTTTGGCTGTGGGATCAGGAGATGCCTGATCCAGACCCATGCTGTGGGGCTGAGCTGCCTGCAGCGGCCCTCAGGGCAGGTCTGACCCAACTCTGGGGGTCATTTTGCCAAGCTTGGGGCTCGGCCGTGTGCTGGCACTGATACTGCAGAGCCGCCTCGCTCGTCCTGGTTTAAAAAAAGACAGAAGCGAAGAAAAAACAGTTCTTTTGGAGGGACGATGGCATGTGCACTCTAACCTTCTGCTTTCCTTTTCATGTCCTCTCTAATCCAGAAACCCGTACTAATTGCAGTTAGATTTATGAGCATAACCCGCAGTTCAATCCCGGTATGTATTCACTGCACGGCGCTCTGTGCCAGCCGCGTCCCTCCGTTCTGTGTGACCGCCGCTCATTCCAGCCCCGTGCCACCGGCCATCGTCTGTGACATTGCCCGTCTTGTCCCCCTGCAGGTGGCTCTCTGGGACCCCCAGGAGCAGCAGCAGCCAAACTGTGCCGGGCTTGTGCCTTCGCCCCTGCATGCAGCTCTGTGAGAAGTGGCTTTCACCATCACTTCTGCATTTTCTTTTTCCGTTCTGTGCCCTCCTCACTTTTGCTTTCCTTGATTCATTGCTCCCATCCATGATTCCTGCTGGGGTTGCGTTTAGGCACTGTGAAGCCGTTGCTTTGACTGCGGTGGGTGAATCCCATAGTGATCATATGGCATCTGCTGAAGGGCTCTGGGCAGCCTGGCTGCTGTACCCTGATGGTCAGGGCAGCCCAGGATGGATGTGGGCATCCAGCAGCCCTGCAGCAGCACACTGCCCAGTGAGACCAAACGTAGGACCATGAAAGCTCCTTCTTTTAGAGCAAACCCTGCTCTTACCACCAAAAAGTGTTGTCACCCTGCTCGTTCCAGCCAGCATTGGACACGCAAGCACTGTGAGCAAACCCACATCTGACCCACCGGGGAATTTTCCGCTTGCAGCAGCTGGGAGAGGAGAGGGCTTTGCTGAAAGCCCACGTGGATGTCGTCACTGCAGCATCCGCTCGCTGCTGAGCGCCCCATAGGCAGGGAGAGCAGTACACGAGGCACAGGGGATCTTTGGGAGCTCAGGGCTTTTTGCTAATAGGATTCAGGTGGCTGTGCCTCGGCTCAGCAGCCCACGTGATGCCATCAGAGGAACGTTGCTGCGTTGCGCGGAAGCTCCTTTGTGAAAGATCTCCCAGGTGCGACAGCAGGAGATGAAAGGGTAAAATGGAGCAAATCTCACGTCTCAGTGCTGAGCAGCAGCGTTTGTCCGGGCTGGAGGATTTAACAAACCTTGCAGGAGGAAGCAGTGCTCAGTGTTGCCTCCCACTTGGGCTGTGTCCCATTGATGCCAGCATAGGTTTGCTTTGCCATTTGAGGAAAGATCCCTGCTTGCATTCCTGATAGCTTTTTGCTTTCAAAGTGAAAAAGGGAGGCTTTTCTCCCATGTCCTGGGTATGTGAGTTATGAGGAAGACCAAGAGGTACCTCAGCTACAATGTTGAAGTAGCCCCGTGCGAAGAAAAGCTTTTTGTGAACTGATGAATGAGGCAAAGTGCAGCAGGAAGGGGATTCAGTCTCACCAAGAAGCACAATGATTGTTTGAAAGAAGAGGGCAGCCTGTAGGTGGAGCAGAGGCAAGTGCTGGGTTTTCCATGTTGCTCTCGTGTTGCACTCGTCTTTCACTCTCTGACCAGTTCAGGATCCTGACTTCAGGAGATGAGTTGTGTTCCGTTACAGCAACAGTTAGGACAAAAGCTTTTTAATGGCCATGGCGTGCCCACAAAGCGCACTACTCCTCAGCATCCTTTGTGTCCAAAGATCAGTATTTCTCTTCCACCCTGTGGAGCAGCTCCTCTGAAGGTAAAGCAGAGGCCATTTGCACTCACAATATTTCTCCATCTACGATACTCCCATCTAAGACCTTTTTCATAATCAGAAGTTTTAATACTACTAAACGTGCAGGACTCTTCTATTTGACCGTTAGTTTTTTTGCTGTCCCCCAGCTATTCCTCACCTGTTTTTTTTGCAGCGCTTTCCCCCACCTGCTTAGCAGACCCTCCTCCTCTCAAACCTGCCGTTGTGTCGCATCATCCCATTGCATCCCTTTGTGCCAGGGAGGAGGAGTCCCCCAAAAATGGGCTGTGCAAAATAATCCTCGCTTGACTCTGATGTTTCTCTTCAGGGCAAAGGCCGCGTGCGGCGCGGCACCTTCCCCAGCCCTACGTCCCCTGTGGCCGTGCGCCTGCCCTCGGTGTCTGACGTCCCTGAGGAGACCGTGAGCAGCGAGGAGGCCATGGAGCTGGATGTGACAGAGCAGCAGCAAGCAGCCATGCAGCAGGAGGAGAGGGTGCTGACCGAGCAGATCGAAAGCCTGCAGAAGGAGAAGTGAGTTTGCCCTTGAATTCAAGCTTGGCTCACTTCCACGCCTTGCATCTAGAGGTTCAACTTGGGGATGGCGTGATGGCAGTTGGTTCTGGGGAGGATGTGCTGCTCGTGGGTTGAACTGGAGGACTCTGTGCATCCCTCTTGCTTTCCTCCCCTCTTTTTTGGTTCTGTTGGGTCACAGAGTTGGGTTTTGCAGGGAGGAGCTGACATTCGAGATGCTGACGCTGGAGCCTCGCGCCTCTGATGATGAAACACTCGAGTCAGAAGCCTCCATCGGCACTGCTGACAGCTCAGAAAACCTGAACTTTGACTCCGAAGGAGCCATCTCTGATCGGTCAGGTGAGTCAGTAGAACCTGCAATCAGGCAGCTTTCAATGCAGTTGTTCCACAGCAAAGCTCTGCGTAGAGCAATGTAGTTGGGTTAATGAGATTGGTGTTAATTAATGATTAAAACACCCAGGGTCTGTAGATCGTGCTGCCTCTTGAATGGCTGAGGAGGTGTGCGCTTCTCTGGGCACGGCGTCCCAGGTGCTCAGGTTATTGTTCCCACTGCCAGGACACGGGATGTCTTTGTGAGCGATGCAGTGGAGGTGGGATCATCTCACCTGTGTCGGGTCGGGTTCTCTCCCTGCTTTATATGTCCCTGCTGAGATGGGGAGCCCAGATGCTTCCGAGGACCGCATTACTGACCTGCTGCCTCCCTGTCCTGCAGAGCGAAGTGTAGCACTTAGCTCCCTGCGCCCCAACAAGGCGGAGGGGCCGGGCCGGCTGCGGCGGCACCCCAGGACGCGGCCAGACGTGGCGGACACGCCGAATCCATCCCTCGTCTCCTCCTCCTCATCCTCCTCTTCCTCCCAGTCGTCCACCTCCTGCCTGCCCCACCTGCCTCGCAAGCGCTTCCAGATGTACTCCAAGTCGCCCTTCTACCGAGCGGGGGCCCTGGGCGAGCCCCCCGAGCCCCACTGCGACGAGCGGCCGCAGTTCACCACGCGCGGGACCTTCAACCCCGAGAAGGGGAAGCAGAAACTGAAGAGCGTGAAGAACTCCCCCCCGAAAACCAAAGAGGTGCCAGAAGGGGGGCTCGGCCGCAAAAGGAACCCCGATGCTGACCGCAGCGCCGGCCAGCAGCTTGTCCTGCTGGGGAGCAACGAGTTCATGGTGTGAGACGCCAGGGTGACGACGTCCCCATTGCCATCATCGTCACTGTCATCCCCCGACCGCTCGGGCTGCAAAATGAGCGCTCCATGCGGAAGCTGCTGGGGATGGGTTCGGCGGTGGCCTCAATGGTGTGGGGTTGGGACGGCCGGCACGGGGACAGAGGGACAGACAGAGGGACGTCGGGGAAGGAGCCGCCGTGCCGGGTCCTCTGTGCTGGAGGAGGAGGAGGAGGCAGTGGGAAACAGAGCGCCGGAACACACCGCGGTGTGCATGAGCTGCAGGGCGCGTGGAACGGTGAGAAGGAGATCTGCCAACAGGACTCAGCTCTGGTTGTTCTTTCCTATTTCCAATGTGCCCTCCTCTCGTGGTAGTTTTTTTTTAATTTTATTTTTATTTCTTTTTCAGACCATCAGTATTAAAATAATAATAATCAAGGACTTACTTGAAGCTCTGTTTATATTCTGGTTTACTGGAGTTTATTGTAAATACTTTTTTTTTATTGGTTGTGTTTTGTTGTTGTTTTTTTTTTTAAATATTTTGCCCCAAAAAGGACTTTGTGCCAGGGCGAGGGGTCAGTGGGCAGCACAGGTCCCGGCCATTCACTGCGTCTTCCACCACTGCTCCATCGGGCTGTAATTAGCAGGGCTCAGAAGCACTGCCTGCAGTAGCACTAATGAGTGGCGCTCGCTAACGATGGGGGCTGCTGGCTCCTGCTGCAGCCGGAGGGCTGCCTGTCTGTAGGATGGGAGAGACTGGGAGCCTGGGGGCGCTGATGGGATCCATAGGTGCTGCGTCTGCCCCTTTCTGCTTGGCGTTCTGGGCAGACTGGGCTGCACGCCTTTCCCTGAACACCTCCAGAAAGATGGAGAGCACCAATAACTTGAGTCTTCCTGCATGTTTTCTGTTGGTTTCACTGGGATTGGGGACGTGGCGATGCAACCCCCCGTTCCCGGCCCCCAGTGCCTGTGATTTCAAGGGGTGTTTTATTTATTTGCCTTTTTATTATTTTAATCTTCGTTCTTGGTGGTTGTTTTTGTTTTCCCTTTTAAGCCACGCAGTGAAATGGGGAGCGCATCATCCCCACGCAGCCCCCCGTGTTGGGACGAGCCACTTCTCCCCCTCGCTTAGCGGAAAGGCCTTGTTATTTAAAGAAATCCCACCAAAACGATCCTTCAAAGCTCAGACTTTAGGACGAGGTCTCCTCCAATAGAGCACCGTCCCATCCCACACCCACCTCCCCCCGGCACCACGAGAGCAGCAGGGCCGGCGCATCCAGCTGACGCATCACCTCCCTCTATGTATGTAATAATATATATATATATAAAATTTTGTATATATCCCTCTCACTGGCAGGATCTAAACTAGCAATGAGCGATGAGCCCCCAGAAATTGGGGTGGTTTTAGCAGGTCCCCACCCAGCACAAAGCTGGCACCCTGCTGCTCCCTGTGCCCGCACGCGGCCGTTCTGGGGCACGGTGTTGGTTTTGGACGACGATCCGCTCCTCGTACCAAGTGAATGTACTTACTACTGGAAAGGACGTGGGCTGCGTGTTGTTAATTATTATTTTTAATGGAAATTTTTTTAAAGTAATTTATAAGAATGCCGAGTGTAAGTTAAAAAGGAAAAAAAACAAACAAAAAAAAACAAAAAAAAAACCAAAACCAAACCCACGGAAGTATGTATTGTAAGAGGATATATTATCCTGTGTCACCTCTATGAATTTTACCTGTTTAAAAAAAAAAAAATTTAAAAAGTTTAAAAAAAAAAAAAAGTGTAATTATATAAAGGAGAATGATTTATCTCTGCCCAGCGCCGCGGGCAGCCGTCGAGCTGTTGCGTCGCGTCTGCGCGTTCTCATTAATTTGTTAATTAATGTTGCTCCCTTCCTTCCTGCAACGAGGCCGTTGTTCTGTATAAAGTGCAATTCTGTGTAATATTTCTCCGGCGTGTTCCGTGTGGCTGTACGAAGCGGCCGAGTGAAGCCCTTGCTTATTAAAGAGCTGTAATGAGGAGCGCTGGGTGATGTCTGTGGGGACACCTGGGGGGTTGCGCCTTGGGGACGCGCCACCAAGGGGGATAATATCACCTCTGGGTTTTGGGTCTGCAGGTGGCTGTTGCTTCTTGGTTCTCTTTTTGGAGCTGGAGATCTGATTTTCAGCTGGCTATTCTGGCCCCATGTCCCCAGTGTCCCCAGTGCCAGTATGTGAGAGAAGGGCACGAGGAGGCTGTCTGCAAAAGCCCTCTTTATTCGGAGTACAAAACAGGGGGCTGGCTGCAAGCCCCCTGGGATGGGATGACACAGCTCTGTCCCCTCGTGTCCCCCACCAGTGCCACCCCCAGGCTGATGTCATGTCCCTGGGTTGGGGTGCTGCTGACACCATGTCCAGGCAGTGCTCAGGGTTGGGTTGGGGACAGCAGCACCCATCGAGGTGCCCATCCTGTGAGGCCCTCCTGGTGCCACCCTGGAGATGTCCCCCTGCCACCCAGCCTCCTGCACCACTTGGGAGCACCCCAAGGACTTGTCTGCTGGCCTGGGGACATCCACACCCTGAGGAGAGCCGGGGGTGACAGAGTGCCAGCACAGAGGGACAAACAGCCGGGGTATCCCAGAAGAAACCAAGCAGCAGCCAGATGACAAGAGGGAGGGTCAGTTCTTGAACATGTCGCAGAGCAGCTTCTCCATGGGGGTGTTGCCGATGGTACGGCGGAAGAAGAGCAGCTCGACGCGCTCGGAGGAGAGGAAGCGCAGTGCCGGCAGGAGCAGCAGCAGCTTCCCAAACCTGGAGGATGGAGCGGTGTCACAGAGCCCGTTGTCAACGGCACCTCCGGGGTTGGGGCTGGCTGTACCTGACGGGCTGCCCAGGGTAGTGGGAGCGGTTGTGCTGGCCCAGCATCACCTGCGACTGGTCCTGCAGGTTCTCCACTTGCTCAGGGTCCTTCAGGCCGCGGGTCTCTGCCAGGACAGCGGGTGTTGGGGTGACACGGGGACAGGCAGCGGAGGACCCAGGTGTGCGCTCTCACCTGGCTTGAAGAGCACCACGGCCTTCATGCAGGCAAATTCGGTGGGATCGACCGCCAATGCTTTGAAGCGCCCCAGGGTCTCCTGCAGCGCCCGCACGTCCACAGCAGCTGGCAGCAGCTTGCCGGGGGACGGCTCGGGGACGGCCAGCAGCGGGCAGCTCTCCAGGGGCATGGACCACTGGATGGCACAGAGCAGGAACAGCTCGCTCCACGCCTCCTCCAGCAGGATCACCTGGGGGCAGCCATAACCCATCAGCCCACCTGGCTGGCAGAGGAACATCACTCACAGCTCAGCCCGTGGCCAGAAATTGGCATCCTGGGGACACCCCAAGGTTCACTCTGTGGTCACGGAGAGGCTGTCCCCATCCCCACCCCATCCCAATCTAAAGCTTTTGGGGTCCCTACCTGGTCCCGGAAGGGCAGATTGGAGAAGACAGGCAGGTTCTTTGCCCACTTGACAGCCATGAAGAGGAGACGTGCCGAGGTCTCGTAGACATTTTCGGGACCAGCTGCTGGGTACGGGGCCACCTGGTACTCACCGCCCGCCCGCTCAGGCTCGCCACCCGTCACATCTACTGTCTCATCAACTGCAGGGATGGGGACACAACATCACCCCATTGCCCCCCATACCTCCCCACCGCCGGCGGTCACCCACCATCTTCAGGCTCCAGCTTGGCACAGGTCTCGGCCGTCATCAGGCTGGCCATGAAGCGGTGGTTGGTGGGCGGTGTGGGTGTGCGGGGGACGGCAGCAGTGGCAGCAGTAGCCCCGGGGCCACGGGGGGCTGGGCAGGGAACCGGGGGGACATCACGCGTGGCAGCCACGTGCTCTGGAGGCAGCTCGGCATCCAGCTCAATGCTGTCTAGCCGGACCTGGGCTGTGCTCCGGGGCTGGCGTTCATTCTGCACAGCTGTGGTGACAAGGTGACATCAACTGTAGCCAACGCACTCTGCCACCTCCCTCCCCAGCGCATCTGCCCTGCTCACCATCCTTGTTCATGCCAGCTTGCAGGCACTTCTTGAGCCGGCATGCCTGGCACTGGTTGCGGTGTGCCTTGTCCACTGGGCACAGCCCTGTCCCTGCCTGGCACCTGCAGGGAAAGGTGGTACCTGGCTGCACCCACAGGGATGGCCCTCTTTCGCTGGGTGTCCCATGGCCCATGGATGCCCCGTGCTAGGGAGGCTTTGTCCCTGCTGGGTGAGAGTGCCCTGCCCCAGTAAATATCCTGTCCCTAATGGGTGCCTTGTCTCCATGGGTCCGTTGTCACATGAGTGTCCTGCCCCAACAAATGCCTTGTTTGCCCCAGGGATGTTCTGTCCCCTGCAGATGCACATCCCCTCTGGGTGCCCTCATCCCCTATAGGTGCCTTGTCCCATACAGGTGCTGCGTCCCAGTGAATACCCTCCCTTGATGGGTGTCCTGCCCCACTGAATGCCATGAATGTACCCACAGCCTTTGTCCCACCCGGTGTCCATTCCCTGGGTCCCCACCAGCTGGCTATTCCCCATCCCCACCTGTAGATGAGCTTCCTGCGGACGCTGCGCTTGAAGAAGCCGCTGCAGCCGTTGCAGGCATAGATGCCATAGTGCTTCCCACTGCTGGTGTCCCCGCACACTTTGCACAGCAGCACGGGACTCAGCGCCTTGCCAGGGGCTGGGCTCAGTCCTGCGGGAGCAGAGCCGAAACATACAGGGTGAGCAGAGACACCCCAGAGTCCCCATCCCCCTCCATCAGTGCCCTCACTCAGATGATGGGCACTGCCACCTCCGTGGGTCCGGCCCAGGGGGACCTCAGATATCCCAGGGGACATGGATGAGGAGTCCAAGAGGTGCACACAGGGTTCAGCATCAGCCCACACCCCAGGGATGCCATGGAATGAACTCTCATGGGACTTTTAAATGGGATTGAAATGGTGTTCCTGGGGTTGGGGACACTGGGTGTCCCAGTGGGGGGACAGCATGCATCATGACAAAGAGTCACAAGTGGGGACCACAGGTGTCCTGGAGAAGGGCCATGGCTGGGGACACATTACCCCAGATAGGGGCTGTGATCGTGACCATGGCCTGAGGAGAGGAGAGTCTCAGCAGGGGACCACGGCATCCCTGGGGGAAGAGCAGAGACCACAGACATCTAGAAGAGGGTCTGTAGGCATCATGGAGAAGGAGCAGAGCTGGAGACCCCAAGTAGCCAGGAGAAGGATGCTGATGGGGGTCCCCAGGCATGGTGGAAAAGGTCTGCAGTGAGGACCATGGGCACCATGGGGAGGGGTCATGGCTGGGAAACCCGTGTGTCTTGGATGAGGACAACAGGGGACCCTAAGCATCCTGCAGAAGGAAGGTGGTGGTGGACACTAAGCATCCTGGAGAAGGTGTACAATGGCAACCCCAAATATCCTGGGGAAGAAGATGATGATGGAGAAGCCATGCATCCTGGAAAAGAGCCACAATGAGAATTCCCAAGGATCTCAGAGAAGGACTGTGACTAAGAGCATCCTAGAGAAGGACTGTAGTAGGGACCCAAGGTATCCTGGAGAAGAGCCATGATGGGGACTCCAAATATTCTAGAGGAGAACCGTGATGAGGGACCCCAAACATACTAGGAAACAACTGTGACAAGGATCCAAATATCTTGGAGACAGCTCACGATGGGGGACCCTGAGAATTCCTGAGAAAGACCACGATGGAGGACCCTGAGCATCCCAGAGAAGGACCGCAATGGAAGACCCCGAGCATCCCAAAGGACCCCGTTTGGACCCCACGGATTCCTGAAGAAGGACACCGGTGGGGACCTGAGCATCCCGCAGAAGGACCCGCTGGGGACAGACCTGTGCAGCAGGATGTGGCTCTTACCCGAGGGGCTGTCCTCCAGCCCGGCGCTCACCACCGACCCCTCCGGCGACGCAGCCATGCTGGGCTGTCCCTGTCCCCGCTCTGCAGGATGGGGCTGTGGCTGTGCTCTCTTCAAGGCAGATTAGCGCGGGCGCTGTGTAAGCAGCCGCCTGTTTGTCACCGTCTTAATCTTTAGTGTCTGTGCGGGGGGGGATCAATCAGCCACGCGATGAAGAATTAAAAAGGTGCTGAGCCCCGGCATGGCTGCCTCCCTGTAACCCTAAACCCTGCGACACCAAAGCCACCAAAGCCACCAAAGCCACCCGCAGTGGGGACACGGGGGTCACAGAGACGCTGGCCCTGAGAAGCGGAGGGCTGGGATTGCGGAGGAGTGTTGGGGTGCAGGGGTGACCCCTGTGTCCCCCCGTGCTGTGCCCACCAGGCCCTGTAAGCACATAAGCCCCTTGTTAAGGAGTTTAGAGAGGAATAACGAAAAGTGGTAATTACGGGGTGGGGGATGGCACAAGCCCCCCTTCCCTGTCCCCAGGCAATTAATTACAAGCTCCAATTGAGGGGGATAATTGATGGGGGTCCCCCAAAGAGGATTAGTGCTGGGTCAGGGGTATCGTGTGTCCCCCTGGGGCCAGCAGCCTCAGTGTCCCTTTGGGGGCTTTGGGCCGTGGCTGCTGACGCAGCAGCATGGGGCCAGGTGGCCCAAGGGTTACGCAACGAAGGCTAAACCCTCGCTGTGACAGGGCAGCACAATTTGAGATTTGAGGGCTTTAGGCACTAAACCCCCCCGCGGCCATCCGGGGTGGGCTGTGAGGCCAGTGGAGACAGGGACAGGGAGGGGGATGGAGTCTTGAGGCTGAGGTTGGGGTGGATCTATCGCAAGGGTTCTGCTGGGGACCAGAGGTGGTGACACGAGGGGTTATGGGGGATGAGGCTCCATCCATCTCTGTTTCCACCTGCAGCTTCACTACATCACCTCTACATGCAGCATCACCCCATCTCAACTGCAGCATCCTCCGTCCCACTGCCACCATCACCCCATCAGAAATGCAGCATCCTTCCACCCCATCAGCAGCATCCTCCATCCCAGCATCTCATTCCCACGTCTCAGTCCATGGCTCCATCTTGTTCCTGCCACAAGCAACACCACAAAGGTGCCGGGCTGATGCAGTGGGAACTGGGTACCCTGCATACCCACGGGTCTCCTTGGCCACTGCCCATGGGGCAGACACTGGATACCCCACAGTAATGGGACGCGGTGGCTTTTGGCCCCCAGGGATGGTGATGAGCACTGACTCGGCTAATTTGCCACCCAGCCATGTTTCCCTCCACACCGCCAGTAAAAAGCCAGCTCTGGAGCTGGGATTTGGGAAGGGGATTAGCCCCAGCAGCCATCTGCCACCAGCCAATAATCATTGCGCCGAGGAAATCCAATAATTACAAAAATATTGTTCCCACCCCATTTTGCTCTTGCACCCGGCCACGTGGCCCCAGTGGAACATCCAGAGGTGCCCCCAACGCTGCGTCTCTGCCAGCAGCCCAAAGGGGCACTCGAGCACACTGGGGACCAGACAGCACTTAATGCCACTGCTGAGGGGCTCAGCCCCGAGGTCCCCATATGAAGGAGCAAACGTTAAAGCCCGTGACCCAGCTCTGTGACAGATGCTTGGGATTACCCAGCCTAAAACCTTGGGATCGGCTCCCTCCCTCCTTCCCAGCATTTAATTACTAATTTACTAATTACCCCAAGATGCTGCTGGCTGTCTTGAGACCCATTGCTGGGTTCTGGCTGCTAATCCCACCAGCCACGGGGAGCAAATGGATGTGCTGCAGTCAGGGGACAGCATGGCTGGGGACAAGAAGAAGGTTGTAGGGACCAGGAGGGGACCAGGTGGGGAGGGTGGAGTTTGGGAACTGGTTGGGGCAACTAGGAGATGACAACAAAGATCAGGAGAGCGTAATGGGGATCACGAGGAGACGTTGGAGCCCAGGAGGTCCCACTGGGGACCAGGAGGGAGTGGAAGGCACCAGGAAGGTGCTGTGGGGACCAGGAGAAGATGGCAGAGACCAACAGGGGACAAGCATCAGGAGGGAGTGATGGGGACCAGAAAGGTTTGATGGGGACTGGAATGGGACCATAGGATAGGGAGATGATCTGATAATGACCAGGAGAAGATGACGGAGCCCAAAAAAGATTGGTGGGGACCAGGAGGTAACAGCAGGGACCAGGAGGATGCAATGGGAATTAGGAAGGTAACAAGGATCAGGAGGGAGCAGTGAGGTGCAATAGGGGTGGTAGGGATGATGAGAGGATGGTGGGGACCACAATGGGATGATGTGGACCAGGAGTTGGTGAAGGGGATCAAGAGAGTTCAAAAGCAACCAGGAGATACAAGGCTCTGGAAGGAAACAAGAGCAATGTGGGACTTCAGGCAGCCCCTGCTGGCACCAGAGGTGACTGCGATGGGTTAACACCACCACTGGCGCTCAGCCATGTCAGGGCCTGGCTCTGGTTTCATCCGTCATCAGCTCTCCTTTACCAGAGCTCTTTTTCCCTTTGTGTTCCCGCTGTGACAAATGATGCCGAGTGGCTGCGGGCAGAGGGTGGTGACAGCTCCCAGGTCACCTGCTCCATGCCCTGCCAAAGCCTCTGCAGACCCCAGATGAAACTTTAATGGGGCTCCAGGGCTGACCTGGCCATGAAACCCACCCCCAAGGGCAAGCATCTTCCCGGGGACATCCCGGTGGCCGTTCCAGAGGCACAGCCCTGTGATAGCTGAGGTGGCACCATCCTGGTGGTCACAGGCTCAGGTCCATTGTGCGCTTTGTGACAACCTTTTTGTCATCAAGGGATTACTGGAGGAAATGTCCCAGCAGGTGGAGACTGTTCCCCCTGGGAGGGCCCCATGTCACCTGGACAGGGCGGGCTCAGTGGCAGCGGTGGGGCTGGTCAGGACAGTCTGGGCACATTCCTGGGTGCTGGCACTGCCAGCGACTTGGGGTCCTGCAGCCTGGGGTGCAAAGGGAAGACGCAAGGGGACATCGAAGGAGTCTCTAAGGTGAGGGTGGAGAGGAGTGCTCAGGCATGTCCTCAGGGGTAGTGTGGTGACTGAGGCCACAGCTTGGTGTTTGGTGATGTGATCCTGCCAAGGACTTGGGGACACCGAGATCCCCAAGCCAGGGTGGCACAGCTCTGTGGATGCCATGTCTTTCCTTCCAGATGGACCTCCTGGAGCAGGTAGCTGGGGAGCCACCAGGGAGGCCATCCTACCTCATTCCTCTTTTTCCACCCTGGGGTCGTGGCACTTGCATTGTTTGTGCTGAGTGTGAGGGAAAGGGGACGTGGGTGAATGGAGAGGGTGTTGGGGGTGAAGTGCGTGCCACCAGGGTGGGTGACAGCAGGCGTGGGTGCCACCAGGCTGGTTCTGGCTTTGCTGACCCCCAGGTGAGCTCCTTGCTGCTGACCCTGCAGGACAAGGTCCCACCATTCCTCCAGCTCCGGTACTGGCTGCGCTCCTGGATGTGGCAGGTTTGGATGGAACAGATCAAGGCAGCGCAGGTGACACCAAGGAACACACCTTGGTGACGCTGCCCCAAAATTGTCTGCAGCTGGGGCCTGGGGTGAGGTGGGTCCCAGTTCCACCAGCGTGACCAATGGGTGTTTGTCCTTCCAGGTGAGCAGCTCCAAGCAGGTAAGTGCCAGCATCCACAGCTGCACCCCACACTACCCATCCTACCACCTATAGGGCAAACCTGCTTTTGCTCAGTGCCCATGGTTGCTCTGGACTCAAGCTGTCCACCTGAGTTGACTGGAGATGACCTCCCACATCTCTTCCCTGGTCCATGGAGATCCAAACCTCTGCAGGACAGGGACAAACCTGCGGGGTGGCACCTGGCTGGAGGTGACATGTGGTGGTGTCCCCAGGCAGTGGCAGGAGCGGCAAGCACAGCGGCATTCTTCCTCTGTGAGGGGCTGCTGGGTCGGCACTTTGATGTGGTGCCCAACGGGGCGGCTGAGCCCCAGCCTGGGGACCTCTTCCTCTTCCCACTGGCATCGAGGGGACCCGGCTGGTGGGGTGCCCACGCTGGTGTCTATTGCGGTGATGGGGAGATCATCCACCTGGAAGGTGAGCAGTGGGAGGAAACTCCACACAGGGGACATGAGGCAAAGCAGCTCATGCTTGGGGACCACAACGCTCCTTGGGCACCCTGACCCTATTTGGGGATCCAACACCTCAGGTCACCCCCAAACCTCCTTGATAACCTATCTTCCTTGGGGATCTCAACTCAATTCGGGAAACAAATACCCCAGGTTACTGGGAACTCATCAAGGGATGACCCCAACTCTTTTTGGGCACCTCAACCCTATTTGGGGACCCAACACTTCCGGTGATTCCAACTCCCTAACCTTCTTGATGACCCCAACACTCCTTGAGCACTTCAAACCTATTTGGACACCTCTACCCTATTTGGGGACCCAGCTCCTCCTTCTGACCCTCAACCTTCATTGAAGGCCATCTCCTCTACACCACAGGCACCTCAGGAACATCCCCAACAGGGATTGTGGCCAAGCACGGTAAGAGCCACCTCCTGAGGACACGAGGCCCCGCCAAGGTGCTGCGGATGAAGGGGGGACTGGATGCGGCTGCCCTGCAGTGGCGGATCCGGGCAGCCATGGACATGGTGCTGGACTATGATGCTGTCACCTGTAACTGCATCCACTTCGCCCTTGCCCTGCTGGGGCTGGGCCAGCTCACTGGGGACATGGTGAGTGTCTTTGCCCTCAGGTTTGGGAGGATTATGATACTCGCCTCGACCAGAGCTGTTTTTTCTCCTAGACGTTCCCAGCACTGCAGTGAAGGAGGTGGTGATGCGACCTGGGGAGCACATAGGTCTGGAGCACCCTTCCTGGGCTACCTGTGGGATGAAGGATACAAGATAAAGGATTTGGGAATAAGAATGTGGGGCTGTCACCACCCAAATGGATGAGGGTCATTGGGGTGTCGAAGTTCTCTTGGGTTAAATTAAAATGAAATGACACCAAACAATTGGCTGAATGTTTGTGTAGTTGTTTGTTGTTTGGGTTTTTTTTTGTATCCCATTAAACTATTTAGCACAAGATGCAGAGTATATATCTGTATCTTACTGGCAATAAGGGTTACATACAGGGTAAATATATTCCCTAATATCAGAGATGTTTTCATCACCCATGTGTATCCCACATCCAGTTGGAAAATCCACGTACACTATAAAAAGTATTTAGCAGAATTATTAAAATCTAGCAAAAATTGGGCCTTGTCACTTTCCGTTCTTACTGTACACCACCACAACCAGTGCTCTCTACACAGCCTTCTTCAACAGAACAAAGCGGCTGTCATGTGTTAAATAATATCTATAAAACAATGACAGAAAGAATAATTCTCATGCAATGAATCTGTTCTCATTCCTGTTAAAGGCATGCTCCTTTCATTCCAAAGATGTACACTTACATAAGCTAACTTCATGTATGTGTAAGAAAATTGAACGGATCCTGGTACAAAGAAGAACTGAATGGAATGCATCAGCTGCACATGGCACCAGCCCAGAGCGTCAACCACAGGAAACACAACTGACCCATCCCAGCTTCCTCAGCCTCTCCCCATAACACTTGTGCTCCAGACCCTTCACTGCTCCGTTGCCCTTCTCTGGACATGCAGACCCTCAATGTCTGGTTTGCAGTGAGGGACCCGACACTGAACACGGCACTGGAGATGCTGCCTCACCAGTGCTGAGTTAAGAGGGATGATCACCTCCTGACACAAACCAGGATGCCATTGGCCTTCTTGCTCCCTTGGGCACCCCGCTGGCTCATGTTCATGTGGCTGGCTGTTGACTAACAACCCCAAATCCTCTTCCTCTGCACAGCTTCCAACCACTCTTCTTCTCCCCTTTTTTGTGAGGTTATCCTTGGGCCAGACTCTACAAAAGGGATTCCTGAAGGCCATCAGTCCAACCACTGTGCAATGAACAGTGACACTCACAGCTTCAATAGGTGTTCAGAGCTCCCCAGCCTGATCTTGAAAGTCCTGAGCTGGGAGGGATCCTTGGGGATCATCAAATCCAACGCTCAGCTCTGCGCAGGAACGCACCAAATCAAACCTCACACGTGACAGCACTGTTCAAACACTTCTTGAACTCCAGTCTTGTTGCTTTTGCTCATGCAGCATGTTCCGTGGCACCACACTCCAGTGCAGAACACTTCCCTGACCTCCAGCTGACCTGTCCATAGCACAGAGTCAGTTCAGCTGTGCCTTCCTGTTTGCACTGCTTTGAAGCCTGATTGATTCTTTGAAATCAGTGCCCGGCCAAAAACTCACAATTTTCCGTTATCTGCCAAAGATGGAAACACCCTGAGTTATCTGCAGAGAAAAGCTACTTGTTAGCACTGATACTAACCAGAGAAAATTAAAACTAACACTCTGAGAAGCAGAAAAAGAAAGCCGCTGGGGATTTTCCTGCCTCCTTTTGCTTTTGGTTTCACTTGAAGCAGAGTCCCGCTCACCACTCGTGTCTGCACGGAGCAGAGCGCTGCGTGTGCCGGCCCCAGCACCGCGCTGCCTGCCCACACCTCTGCCCACCAGCACAGCACTGTAAGGACGCTGCCAGCCCCACGCGGGGGACGGACCAGCATTAGGAGAGCAGGGGGCAAGGAGACTTCCAGTGAGGTAAGATGGCTGTGCTTGTGCTGACATTTCCTTTCTCTCCTTGCAGATGGCAAACATAAGCAGCAGTTCTTCAGTGAGTAGAATGGCTTTGAATCACCGTTCTCCCCAGCTCTCTGTGTGCTGCCCCAGAGTTTTGGGGTGATGTGGCTGCTTCTGTGTTGAAGCTGCTTCTCACCATTCTCTCCCAAGGAGAAAGCAAGAGAGACAAGAGATTTCATCCTACGAGATTTCCTTCCTAATTATAAGAACATCCTTATGGAAGTATCAGAGAACAGCATTGAGGCTGGGGACATGGTGCTTTTCAACATGCAGTCCACCAGCAATGCTTCGCTCAGCTTCAAGCACGCGGTTGTCTACTGTGGGGACGGGGAGGTCATCCACTTCCAGAGTAAGTGCACGTGCCCTGCCTTCATGTCATGGTAGCCCACAGAGCAACAGGGTGATGGCCAACTCTTCACTTTTCAGATACTGGAAATTCAAGTGAAGGGCGAATAAGCAAGGAAGGATTCTGGCTTATGAGGCAGCAGAGGGGGAAAGGCAAGGTTCTCAGGAAAAAGGAGGGGATCAACCTTGAGACCTTCAACAGAAAAGTCAGGGAGCTGATGAACAGCACAGCAATGTACAACTTATTCAAGAACAACTGCATCAACTTTGCTCTCTATCTGCTGGATCTGGGGCATTTCAGCTTTCAGTCTGTAAGTATGGAGCCAGGTTGGGGCATTTGCAATGGGGCCACACAAGTCCCAGGACAAAACATATTCTTTTCCTGCAGACGAACAGCCATGAAGAGGAACTTGAAAGTTTGACTGTGAATACATTTGGTGTCACTGCGCCCTGTGTGCTTGAGTCCCCAAGAAGGGTTATGGCCCTAAAAGATCCGGCTTCCCAGAAGAGGGTTGGGTCACCAGGGGACCTGGATGCCTGGGGAGGGTTGAGTTCCCCCAGGAGGGTTCGGTCCCCAAGGGGTCTGGGTTCCACAAGGCAAGCAGGATCCTTGGAAGAGTTGCATTCCCAAAAGAGGGCTGTTTCCCCACTGATGGTCCAGTCCCCAAGAATGGTTGGGTTCCCCAGTGAGGGTTCAGCTCCCTCCAGGTTTGGGTTTCCAAGGAGGGCTGCATCCTCAGCAGTTGTTCAGGTCCCCCAGAACAATTGTGTTCACCAAGAAGGTTTGGAGGCTTTGGGTGCTATCTCCCAACTCTCCCAGGCACAGTGCAACGTGATCGTCTGAGAGGATTCCAGAGTCTCATTCGCCAGCACAGACCCCTGGCAGAGCTTTGTCTCCACCATTCGTCTTTCCACATGTCTGCTTCCTTCAAAAGATGACCATTCTGTAGGCGTTCCTTTCCATCTTTTTGTGCTGAATCATTTCACAGTTGGAGCTCAGCACCCCCTGCGCAGGGGTAGAAATACTAATAAGCTGCTTTCTTGCTGCCTTACTGTGTTTGCCTTCTTCAAATAATCAATGCATTCGGAGTATTTTGCAAATAGAATTACTTGTTAATAATAGTGCTTATCTGTGTATAACAATTCAGCAACTTCTTGTACTGCTAATATCTATAGCCAAATAATAGTAGCCAAGGTAATGGTATCTCAAGTCATTATAACGAAAAATTTAATCCTTCTTATACTACTCAATCTATATCCAAACCATAGCATTCCATGTAATAGTGTGTCACATAATCGCAATAAAAAATAATATCCCAAATAATACCTGGAGATTCCCTTGTCTTTATGGGTGCCTGCAACCTCCCAGATGTTCGCTGGGACCATCACAAGGAGTTCAGGAAATTCCTGATGCCTCCTGAAGATAACATTTTGGTACAGGACCCAACTCCTTGGTTATCCTGTACAGAAGAAGGAGCTGATCCCAGTGGGCCCCTTGCACCCCGCGCCATCTTACAGGTCTGTGTCAGATGGGACCAGAGCCAGGACAGAGCCCTGGGAGTGACCGCGTCCAGCCACAGCTTGTGCCACCACCCCTCCCATCCAGATTTCCACCACAGAAGTGTGTTTTGGTGCTGAGAACCAAGCTCCAGCAGGCTCCAAGAGGGGACAGCACACACCGCGTCCCCAGCCTGGTATGGATGACCTGCTCGGTCATGGTCTCACCCATCACCTGTCTCTGGGGTCCCTGCCTGCTTACAGTCCCCATCGTCACCACAGTAGGCACACTGCTGTGCTGTTTCACGCTCCAGCAGGGAGAGGTGTGGGCCCAGACTTCTTTCTGCTGCAGGTGGCAGTGCTGGAGGGCATGGGAAGTCATGGTGGCCTGTGAGTATCCCTGCTGCCTCTTGTCCCCACCGCGTGAAGTCTCCAAGGAGCGCTGGGTCCCCAGGAAGGGTCGGGTCCCCAAGGTGGCTGCAGCCACCTCCCTTCATCCTCATGCTTCACAGTTTCAAAGACACATTTCACGTACGAAATAAAGATTTAATTGTGTTTTTTTTCTACTTTCTTGGGCTGCATCATTTCACAGGAGGTCAGTCTGGGGAAGATGGCAGCACCAAGAGGAAGAGGACAGAAATGAACTAAGAGACATGAAGTCAGCTGCAGAAATAGGATGCTCAGCCACACCACTAGCAGCCGAGTCCAAAGGAGGACAGAGGCCAAGCCACTCTCAATGATATTTGAGTAGTTGTGGTGGTCAGGTGAAGTCATAGAATCATAGAATTATAGAATTGCTCAGGTGGGAAAAAACCTTAAAGACTATAAAGTCTGTCCACAACCTTGTCACACACCCTAACAGCCCTCTGCTAAATCACGTCCCTGAGCACCACATCCAAATGGTTTTTAAACACATCCAGGGATGGTGACTGAGCCGCCTCCCTGAGGAGCCCATTCTAGCACTTTACAACCCTTTCTGTAAAGAAGTGTCTCCTGATATCCAACCCAATCTTACCCTGGCACATTTCCCCTCATCCTGTCACCTGTGAGAAGAGAGCAAGCCCGCTCTGCTGCAATCATCCTTTCATCTATTGGAAGAGAGCAATCAGGTCTCCCCTCAGCCTCCTCTTCCCCAAACTAAACACTCCCAGTTCCTCACAGGCCATATTCTCCAAGTCCTTCACCAGCCTTGTTGTCCTTCTTTGGACCTGCTCCAGCACCTCCACGTCCTTTCTGTACTGAAGTGCCCAAAACACAACACAATAGTTGAGGTGAAGCCTCACCAGTGCAGTGCAGGGCAGGATGACTTCCCTGGCCCTGCTCACCACACCATTCCTGATACAACCAGGATGCCATTGGCCTTCTTGGCCATCTGTGCACACTGCTGGCTCATCTTCAGCCGACTGTCCATCAGTACCCAAAGTCCCTTTCCATCAGGCAGCTTTCCAGCCACTTCCCCCTAAGCCTGTAGGGTTGCCTGGGCTTGTTGTGACCAAAATGCAGGAGCTGACACTTGGCCCTATTGAAACTCATACAGTTTACCTTGGCCATTGTTTATACGCTCCTTCAAGTACTGGAAGGCTGCAATTAGGTCTCCTGGACCCTTCTCTTCTCCAAGCTAAACAAGCCTTCTGATCATCTTAGTGGCCCTCCTCTGGACCCATCCAAAGAGCCCTGCATCTTTCTTGTGCTGGGAGCCCCAGG